TAAAAAAACTTAAGTTCTAAGGAACATTTAGATATAAGCGTCTAATAATTGTTACGGAAAATTGATTAATAATACAAAGACCAAACATAGTCACCGAACATTTTGATATCAATTTATGAATTATTATGATTTGTTATGAATAATGAGTAATAAAATCCTGAAACTCAAATTAGTCATTGTTTACGTGACATATATTTTAGTTGCAGTAAAATCGAGAATAATTAATTAGAATGAAATTTATTATGACGATATTTCATTATAGTACAGGAAAATAACTAGGTATAATTAACTATTGCTCATAAAATTTCCTGAAACTAAAATATAAAACCTAGTAAGACATAACCACACACATGCTTAGAAATCAAGTTGTTTTCCATGTTTAGATCCCGCGATTCAAGCCCAGAGCTTAGTGCGGGGTCCGTTACTAATTGTGCCTTAGTCATAACATCTTTATTATTAAGTAATGTATTTAGGCAGAAGTAAATTAAAATAAATCAGAATTGTCTTAACTATATTATTTACTTCTTTTCTAAAGTTATTTTCTACTCAATTTCAAGTGTTAGTCCAAAGGCCGTTTTGAGCTGTGAATATCATGGTTCATAAATATTTCATTTCATAGTTCAATTCAAAATAAAGTGATTTGTAAGTAACTGAAATGTTCATTTTACAGTCAAAAGTTTTAAGAGAATGAAACTAGCACTCATTTTCTATTTACTTACATACGCTTAACTAAAAGTGACCTATCGGAACGGATTGGATCAAGAAACATTTAGAGGTACAAAACTACTGACTGATAACTTAGTCATTCACAGAACTAGTGGAAGAGAAAAATCCTAAGTAGTTTTTTGAAGAGAATTGTCTATTTATTAACAGAACAAATGGGAAGAAAATACCAGTAGTTCTGTCAATAGAAGCGTATAATAGAACTAGTGAAGTAGTCGCATACCAATGGCTTCCGAAAACATTTGAATTAGGTTAAAATACTAGGATAGTTTAAAAGGTACTAACATATTAATATAAAAATGGAACACTTAGAAAAATTATTTCGATCCGGCTGGATTCGAACTAACGTCTTCTAGCAAACAGTGTCAGACGCTATGCCAACTAAGCGTCTGTCACGGTATGCTCCAATCTGGCCGGATCGACGGAATTTTTTCTAAGTGTTTGATCGTTGTGTTAATAATTATTACAAACCAGTGGAGTCATTTCACAAAAATTATTGAATATCTTGGTGGTCAAACATAGAGAGATTAAAAAAATTTAAAAAGGTACTAACATAATTTTAAATTTTACTAACGAACTATTATGGAAAATTGGTCCGAAATAAAAAAAATATTATTGTAATTATGATTAAAACCTGAATGACATTTTGAAGCAAAAAAAACAAACGAAACAATTTAGAACGCTTCGTGCTTGCAGCTTTTAAATAAAAAAATTACGTATTTCCAAAAAGGCACAAAATCAGAACTATTTTTTTAAAAATAAGAGTGCGCATTTAACTTCCATCTCGCTTAAGGATGAGGTCGACGACGAAGCGTTCTCACTCAAATAATTCCTACAGGTTGAGCCTTTAAAAGATCAAAAATATTTAAGGAAAATTTCCAAATCACAAATTCGCAATTTCAACGTCCGTTCGCGTTGTGATGCGTGCGCGCTCATATGCAGCAATGCGCGCGAGACTTGTAGACCGGAAAACGCTAGAAAGTGGCTTTTCAATTTTCGAATAGCTACATAATAAGCCATGGCCGATTTACTCGCCGCAGCAGCCATTGCACTGGCTTGGATAACGCTGAATTGTGATGATTGAAGCGATTTATTGCAAACGATGGAAAAATGTTTTCTTCTTTTCTTCTAACGAGGAGTAGTTGGTTATACATCGAGAAAGTTTAGCGGACAATGCATACACGTAGTACCAATTCCAAGAAAGTACCTACTTTATTTTGCAATATTAACTGATATTTAACGTTGCTCCTGAATCTATTTATTTCAAAATAACCGTTAAAGCACGACAGAGAAGCACATTAATAAATAGTATTTATTTATTCACAGACAGATACCCATATTAACATATTAGAATACAAAAACAATAAAATAAAAGTAATAAAAATAAAATACAATGCACTTTTAAAATTGCAATTATAATAAGCCCTTCTTCTTCGTATTCCCCTCACGATGCATGGAAATCCAGTATTTTAAAAATAAATTATGGTTTTTTTTAATGCGTGGCGTTGTCACACATGTTATTAAAAATATATTCATCTTTATGACAATTAACGAAGTTTTGATGTGTGCATTTCGTCGTATTTTAATTTTGTGATACTGGGAACCGACAAGTTTGTAATACAAAACAATATAGCATTATGCATGGTAAAAAAGTATAGAAAAATTGCATTGAAAATCCATTGTAAGACATTTGCCTTGGAGTGGTAGGTATATTGGCTAGGGACAAAAAGTTGAATAGGATGGCCTTTATGGCCTTTACGCACGAGCGGACCTTGGAAGCGATCAGTTATCGACGTCTTTAGTACTGTTCAAGTTTCAGATATAGTGCTGTCGTGTAACAGTGTTGGACTATTTTAGTGTTTTAATTTTCAGGTCCAACAATGGTAGGTACAATTATTCTCTTAGGAAATTCTTCTTAGACTATTGAGTATTTCACGATTTGGTTTATCTAGTTTGTATGAACCGATTGACTTTTTACGATAGGAAGCAAAATAAATACAAACAACAAGAAACTCTAGCTCTCTCTCCGGGTAATAAAAACAATACCTAAGTTGAAGAAAGTTAATTCTTTTAATAGCATTAATTATTATTTTACTGAGTATCATTAAAAAAGTAATATACAGCTTTCCACAAGATTAGTGAAAGTAAGCTTTCAAAGTATTTCAATATGAGTACTATAATTGTACTTTTTGCGCAAAGTTAAAATAAATTATTGTAATGATAACATCATTTCACATCACATCGTGCAATGTACTTGGAAATTGACTAGAGTCATCAGCAAACACCTACAATTACTACCTACTTGTTTACTTACTTTAACTCGAACGAAAATTGTAACATTTCACAAATTCACAACAACGCTTCTTTTTTACGCCATGCGTTTTGAAAATAGCGGCCTATTTAAAAAATACCTAATTCATCTCTAAAGGATATGAAAAAAAAACTGAAGCGTTTTTGGCGCGTAATGCCGACGAATCGTACGCCCAATGCTGTCACATGGTTATTTTACGAAATAAGGCGCGAATTGTAAGTACTTAAGGTTACAGTTTTTATACGAATTAATTTGTAGTTTGAGAGCATTATATTTCGAGTTTCTTAATTATTTGTTTTTTTAAGCTGATGGCTCTAGCCCCATGGTCAATAAATAAATTATTATTATTATTGTAGGTGTATGTAGATAGGTGTGTTTATTACGTCAAAAAATAGTTTCGGTCAGTATTCTTTTCCCTTCGTGTATAACAAAAAAGTGGCGGGTTTTTGTGGTTACAGTTTTTATTACACAAAGAAATTTTTAATTTAAGTATATTACGTTATCAGTTTCTGAATTATTTATATTACCTTTTTACGCTGATGGCTATGTCGCTAATGCTCAATAAATACATTTAAAAAATGTGAGTACTTTATATACTAACATTTCTATTTTTGTGAATACAAATATCGTTTGAATTATTTAAGTAAACGTAAGTGTACTTTATAAAGTGTTGATTCAAAGAGTGAGAGAGGAAGACAGAGAGAAAGAGAGAGTAAAATGTTTTAAAGTTCACTTGTGCATATTAAAATGTGTCCTACTTTACGATACACCTACTAATTAACGTTAATACAGTAAGCTCTAGAAAGGCGTTAACGGCTTGTCTTCAGTAACACAAAGAAATGCGTTCTTAATAAGAAAATAATTGCTGTTTAATGATATTGAACGTTCTAGTAAACGCACGTCATTAATTATCACCTATTCTAACTAAAACATAGGGTACAGTGATGAAAATTCAATGCAACGTTGGAAAATTTATGCTACTCTACATTTATAAGTCAAGCTCCTACGCCTAGGTTCCTATGCAAATTTGTACAAGCACAGGCTATAAAGAAACCGCACAGCGGTGTTTTAAGTTTGTAACAAAAATTCTAAATGTTATATTTCCGAAACAGCTGAATACACGTGTAGACGATAAAACTGAAACAAAACACTCTACTCCATTCTATTATTTGAATTTAAAACTTTTGCAACCGTTATATTAAATCAATAATACACACTCGCCAATGTATTTGTGCTTACGGTAGAAAAGAGAACTAATATAATCTTCATATAAAAATTTTCTCCCCGCATTCCGCATCTCTTCCCCTCTTCTTTCATTATGTAAGCGTGAGTTTTCAAAATTATTTATGTCGAATAGTCTTTCATAATACACGTTGATAGGCGATAAGGGAAGATTGAAACCAAATGAATCAATCAGAGTGCTTGAAGGGCTCCAAAATAGAACTTGTATGTGCACAACATAACGTAGATCTGCTGTTAAAAGCTAGTGCGAGCGAGTTCATTATTATGTTTCATAATTATTTGGAACACAGAAAATTTTACAAATTATGTTACTTACATTACTTACAGTAAGTGTAGTATAACGTATATAACTTTTTAGTAGAGCCACTGTATTTGATGTAAAAAAAAAGCAAAAAGCCATCATTAAATAGCCGTTATCTAACCGAAGAATGGCAGAAGAATTAGTTGACAGGCCGCTCGTGCCTATCTTCCCATGGAGTACCATGGAATTTCGACCGCGATTCAAAATGAATGAAAGCTGTTTACTCGTGCTACGCATAAGTACTACGGTGTCAGCTCTGCGGTACTTCTATAATGCAACCAAGTTGAAAGGACTTCCCACCCTCCCCCGCGTTGTGATGAGCAAAGTAAATGAGGGGAAAATGTTACATTTAACAAAGTTCTTTAGTTTCCTCCTAATGAAGCATAGAGGAGCGGAGTTCGCGGTTCGGCGGTAGTCGCTTCGCGCCGTACGTTGAAAGCACTCGCCTCCGTAGCGATCTTCGTAAACGCTACTCCGCACGCGGAATTTCAATTTCAGAATTTCGAAGTGCAGTGACTAAAGGAACTGTGTTACTGGCCAGTGTTTTTCTCCGCAAGGAGATAGAAAAAGTTCACATTTGGTAAGATTTTATGTAATGTTTTTAATAAATTTGTGTGTTAAAATTAATAATTGCAAATAATTTAGTATGTACGCTATTTATGAAGGGTATTATTTCTTCTATAAATAAATATAATTAGTAAATATTTTTTATTTATATCTAATAATTTTTTTGCTAATTATTCACTGTGAATCAGTTAAAATTGATTAGTACTTTATTAGTGCGTGTAAAAGCACAATTTCAGTATTAAATTAAAAAAAAATTAAGTATACCAGTGTAACGACGCTTTTTGATTTTTTTAAACAATTTGTTGGAATTTTTAGCTTTATGCAATTAGCGACAAGAAATTAAAATAATAATTGTACGCATAGAGATTGCGCTAATCTTCGAAAAGAATATTAATACAGCCGTACTCCTTCCTTTGCATGACGCACAAAATGCATTAAACCGCATAATGTGTATTGTCATGAACATGATGCATAAGTTAGCAGCACAGCATAGTGTGCTCGTGAACAAGAACAAAAAAAAATAAATAAATCGATTATGTAGTGAAAACGCAATAAATATTAATCGTTAACCCACGAATCGATAGGGTTGTCATTAGAAAAAAGAAGTGTAAATGGTAGGAATTCTTTTTATTAACAACTACAATTCATCAGGTAATTATATGATGACTTCAGTGGCCTAACGGTTTACGTTGTGGGGCTGGATGCGGATTCGATTCCCGGTAGGACCAATTTGGGAAATGACCTTTTCTAAATTGGTTCACCAGAACCAAACACACCACTGGGTGTTCTGGGGCACAGGGAGTTCCCTATTTCGATTCAGTTCACAAACGCGTAACATATGTATGTCATACAAAAAAAATACAGACGAATTGAGAACCTCCTCCTTTTTTTAAAGTCGGTTAAAAATAAAATATTACGACTGTAGGTCAATCAAATGTTATTATTTGTCTGTTTATTTCCGTGCTTTTTTTTAAATTAATCAATTTCCTTTTGCATATTTGCGAAAGATGGTAGTAAGCTACGAAAGCATCGAAAAAGGTAACCTGAAAGTACGCGGTAAACGTTGCAATACAATATGTTTTGTAGAATGTTTAATAAAAACATTGGAGAACATATTTTTTAAGGAAGCCCAGGCAATCATATTATACAGATACTTTGCCGCTGGTGTCACTGGTACACAATGTAATGTACACAATGTAACTTAATTCGTTTGCAAGAGATTTAACGATCACGTTATCGCAGTAGGAGAACGATTGCTTCTCGATCGAGAGGTTGCCGGAATCCGTGGTGGAATGTACCTATGGCTTTAATTTCTAAGGTACGTACATTCATGAACATTTAGTTTAGAATATTTCTTACGGCGAAGAAAAATATCGTGATCAAACAACGCGTCGAAGAAGGTTTACAACCACTGGAAAGCGTCACCGGCTGTCTCAAGCCAACTCCCCTCAATATGGTATATCGTCTAGCAGGTATTGCACCACCATACGTGCGTCGGGATGTAGTATGCTCCGCGAAGAAGTACAAACAAGAGAGTGACAGTCGACACCCTTTATATGGGCACCAAATTTCCCGAGCTCGCCTCAAAAGCCGTAAAAGTTTCCTACGCACCACAAAGGCTACGAGTGACCATCCAAATGTCACTAGGTGTGCATTGTGGAAACGGAAAAACCCCCCACCACCTGGTTTCATCGTACCTCAAGAGCAACTATCACCTGGTTGCGACCTGCGGTGGCCCGTGTGAAAGTCCTTAACTCGCCTTCGCACTCAGGTAGGACGCTGCAGAGACACGATATGTAAATGGGGTTTCAAGGATACTAGTCAAACCCAATGTGACTGCGGTGCCCCAACGCAGTCCATGCAGCACTTGCTGTTGTGCCCTATGAGTCCCAATACCTGTAAGAGGGAAGATCTCTACGCAGCCACGGACAGCGTAGTCAAAGTAGCAACGTACTATTCAGGGTCAAAATAGTTCTAAATTAAAAGTATTATCGACACGATGAGAAGAAGACTGGAAAGCGTGTACCTAAGTCCTAGCGCGGCGGACCATGGCCTAAATTCTATCCTTAGAGAGGACGTGTGACGGGTTGATGATGATGAATAGTATAGAAAAGCTATACTAAAGTAGAACACATAATAAACAAATACATATATCGGTACAGAAGAAGTCGTTGTAAGACTTATCTTTACGTACGACTTATAAATATGTACAGTGTTAGGTCACAGAAAAATATCCATGTAGAAAATAATACTTTTCGGAAAATAAAATAGTTTTTTTTAATTTTTTTCCCGAAAAACATTATCCTAACACTATGAGTATAACATGTAGTGCACTTTGATTGATTATCTTCGACAAAACACCACAGAATGGTCGATTATCAAGGGATTTTTTATATTTATCTGCATGTATATACGCTGCTGTAGGACCCGACATGTAGAATTACGATTGTTTCTATTCAGGCAGAGGCCATTTGATTTTTCAACGTTCTATTTATAAATTCACTTTAAAGGTTAATTTTTTTTTAAGTGCTTATAAATTAATGGAACCTACATGTATAAAAGCGATCACTTTTGAAGATTACGAATTAGTACGATTCCTGCTATTCCGTAAATAAATTATATTATAATATGATATTATAAATGAAACTATTTTTCCGGATTTAAATGGCGTATATTTGTTTTTTCAAACAAACCGACGTTTCGGGCCCTTTACAGGTCCCATGGTCACGGTTGACAACCGTGACAATCCGGAAAAATAGTTTCATTTCCTAATACAATATATATTATAAAAAATTTAAATATAGTACTAGCAACCCAAATTCGTACTGATACCCTAATATGTCAATATATAATTCCTAATATATACCATGAATTAATTTAGTTAATCATACAAATAACAAATAACGGACCGAATGACCATGACTGGCAGTCATTTCACCCAACACGTTAGCGTAGAGGTGACATAAGAACTCTGCCAGAATTTTAGTCACCTCAACCGAGTGGCTCCAACTTAATTCATTTACCTAAACCAGACCTCGCTTATGCAGTTTAGTTGTTCATCATCATTAACATCAAGACTACACACGTTCTCCAAGGGTTGTGAACTTTCTTCGATATGCAGGTTTCATCACGTTGGTTTTTCGTCACCCTTAGTACGTAACTTAGAAATTAAAGTTAGGTACATTCCGCCGTAGGGTTTGAAAAGTCAACCGCTCAATCGAGAAACTGCACCGATAGGTTGTTAATGTGATTAAAATTCTGCTTCTTTTCTATAATAAATATTTACGAAAGAATGTAAGTATTGCTTTGTTTGAACTACATAAAATAAATTAGCAGTTTCATAATATAGAATAATGTAAACGTTTGTGTCATAATAGTGCTTCAGATAAGAGACACCTTTGTTGCCATTATTATGTGGTTTGAAACAGTCAATAGTTATAATGTATATTTCTGTTCCACTACAATCGTAAGCCTAATTCGAAGAATATTCTGTTAACCAGGCTGCTTTTACAGCGTCTTCCAGTATCTTCGGTAATTCGGAAAACGGCAATGTGATATCTGGGAAACGAATTCAACTACTAACATAACTACTTTAGGGTGACTCCAAACACTCGAGCTATTGGAAAGTGCAGATGCGTGCGTTCCACTCGGTTGATTGGCACGTTGTTATGATTTATGTATGCGTCTATATGAAACCACCTTTCTTTGTAAACACGCACGGATTGCGCGGATTGTTGTGGCTTCGGAACAAGCCCGATACTTGTTAGTGGTATTTCCACTGTATATTTTTTGAGATGAAAAATTTTAGTTAGCAGTTCCATGCTGATCTGGAACCAAAAGAAAAACATAGAAGGAATGAACTGCTTATCATCCCGCGCAAGTTGTAAAAGTCGACTGAGGAATTGGGTTTAATAGTGTCCTACGTAGGCGACAGGCTGGCAACCTGTCACTATGGTGCACTACGTTACACAAGAGTGTATACGATATTAAACCAAACATTTGCCAAATGTGGCTTTAGTTGCACTGTGTCACTTAAAGCTCTGCCTAAGGCGTGAGTATGAAAAATTTTAGTGCAACAAAAACACGTAAAAGTTAACACGCCACAAATTAATCAAAGAAGATATAGTTAGTAAGAAAAATTTAACGTCGGCTTCGATAATTCCACGTAACACAATTTTTGTCTTTGGGTTATCAATATCATTTTTTAATTGGTTCTAATATAATATCACGAATATACTTTACTTTTGTCTGTTTTGGTGGATTACGGAAATGTGTTCCAGGTTTCTCTTTATTTGAAGACAAAAAGGGAATATTATATTTCAAAATTGATGACAATGAACCTAGAAATGTGTACATGTTATGTAATTACCACTACGTAGCTATGTAGGTAAATAGGCAGCATGTAATATGACAGCCACAAAAGCAAGTTTCAGGGGTGTCTATAGCTACTATTTTGTACATACTTGCTACTGAATTAAACAGAAACCAATACTGTTAAACCAAAAACCTTTTTGAATACGGTAATATTGAATAGGTACGGCGTTTTACGATTAATGCAATGATATTAGAAGCAATACTCTTATAAATAATACAACGTTATGTCATGGTTATATTTGTAAGTAGAAAGAGGAAAGATGTCTTAAAAGTAAAAGGCAGATAGAGTGGCGACGTCGCCAATAAATTGATGATTCGAGAGAATGGGAATACGGAAATAGTATTCGAATAAATGGACTTTCTGCGCGAATACTGGCAAAAACTATCACTCGGTGATTATAGGAAAAAAAAGTCAATTCCTTTGCAGTAATTGGAGTTAGTAGAAAGTTCTAAATTGCAATTCATACAGTTATTACACGTAAAAGTATCTCGAGAAAAGTAAAATACGGCAAGGTATTAATTTATGAACGAATTTTTACATTGCCACGACTATTTCTATAATATGACTAGTAGTAGTAGAGCTCCTTGTGAAAGAGTTCGTCCAGGGTAGTACTGCCACCTTACCTATTTCTGCCGCCAAGCATTAATGTCAGCTTTGTGCTGGTGAAATTACAGGACTAATTAACTTACGTCTTGGGTGAAGGGCCCAGTGACAGTGTGCCTAGATCTTGGTTATTTAAACCTCTGAGTGACACTGGAACTGCTGTGGACAGGCGTGTCATTTACCACCGGTAGCACGCTTTGTTCGTCCCGTCACTTGATATCGTAAAAGAAAATGTCTTTTTACAACTTATGAATTTACTATTGTCATTACTTACACAATATAGACCTGAAAAAAATATGAGAAGGTAGTTATGTACGAAAAGCAGTGAAAAGTAAAGCGACGATTATTAAGCTACAATCAATAGTGATTTCTAATGATTTCTTAAATCGGAAAACTAGAGAATATCTGTATCAGATTTCAAGGTCTATCTATGCATGATCTATCGAGCTAGATCATAATTACACGCTTACGTGAGATCGTGCGAGATACAACCGGTTCTAGTTGATATTTACCTGTATTAAGTACAAATTCCATATTTAATGTTATTTATTTCTAACGTAATAAGTTTAAATTTCTTCAAATTTCTAGCATATAGACAAAAGGTGGATATTTCAGAAGATAATAGACACAGAGAGGGGTCTAAGAGTTTATGCCAGCTGATTTAATTTTAGTTCTCAATAGAAGCTCTATAAGAAAATTTGTAACTTTTTACATTACTTACATTTAATTTTATTAAACTTATACTTACCTATTTCTGCAGTAATGTTCAAAATTATGTATTTTATAACACTCAGAATACTTATAACTAAACATGTAAGTCATAGTCATATAAACGTCGACCTTTAGAGCATTACTGCATTCCGGTTTTGAAGGGTTAAGGTTGCTGGTGAAATTACAGGCACAAGGGTCTTTGAAATTGAAAGCTCTGAGTGGTATTGCAATAATCTATTATGTTTTAATTTATTAAGTACATCACTTATTTTAGTGTTTTTAATAAATAATTTAGCTCAACCATTTTTTTGGGTCAATTGTATATTTACATTGACGTGATTAATCATACCACATTTAATTTTATTAGAAAACATTGATTGGGACACTAACGTTCAAAATCTGAACGAAAACAATAATTGCGGCCATTCTCGGGTAACTGAAGTCATCACTACCTAATTTTTTTATTATTTAAGTATTCTAGTATGGTGTCTTTAAGTATTAAAACATTTACTCGAATATTTAAATGACTTAATTAATGATGATATAAGTACCAATATACTGCCGTCCACTAACTAAAACCGGTTAAGTGACAAAATATTTTTTTGAGATATCATGGAAAATCATAACCCAGTTTTAGAATATTTAAATCGTTTAATAATGTTTCAGCTTTGCATCGTTAGGGTAAGTTCCGATACTTTTTAACTTACTTACGTTAACTAATTTTAACTGTTTTAAAAGAGAATTTTGTGCTCTTTCTTTACTTGTTTACTTAGTGGACGGCAGTACAGGAATTGCGGCGAATATACTTTAATTATATTTTCTTTAATCTTCATGAGACATTTCAACAGGAATTGATAACAGCTTATCGCTATGACGAGTTAGTCAAGGAATGAAAATTTTAATATCCACTCGGCATTGCTTATGTCGTCAACTAATTTATACGTCCCACTGCTGGGCATAGGTCTCTTCCCAGGCGATAGTTTAGCCCGTTAGTATTGAGGACTTCATACGTGTTTCGAGGGTTGTGAATCTTCTTCGACGTGCAGGTTTCACGGAAACCGTGAAGGAAAACATCGTGATGATGATGAACATGAGCCTTTGTTCATGGTAAATCCAAACTAATATTATAAATGCAAAAGTAACTTTGTTATGTTGTCACGCCTAAGCCGCTGAACCATTTTTGATTAATTTTGGTATAGACATTGATGGGACCTAGGAAAAGGACATAGGAATACTTTTTGTCACAAAAATTAATATCGAGTTCTTAGGTTTTCGCGATTGTTACACATAGGAAATGAAACTATTTATCTGGATTTAAATCGCGTATATTTGTTTTTACAAACAAACCTTTTGTTACAAAAATGCCCGGATTCTATATAACTAAACTAAACAAAAAAAAAATACTATATCGATCGTAACCCGCTCGTATTGTCTAACGGCAGTCATGCATTAGTACAAGTAATATCGAATAATGATGTTTTTTCAAGAAAATTTCTAACAAGCATAAAATTCTACTGGTATCAGGTAATAAGCACGTTTCTGTAAAGCGCAGTAAAATGTTATGTAGTATAGTATGCAATTATTTCTAGATTTATTGCATCTCATAATGGTATTACAAAATATAATTGGAAAAAATCAGAGCAATGTTTCTTTTAAAAGAGTTTGCGAGGACTTCTTTTTTCGGAAAATATTTTCAATAAAACAAAAATAAAAGCCTAGTATTTAAGAGTCCTTCTTCAATATGGTCCGTGTAAAAGGTCGAGCACCACCGTGACAGAAAAAGTCAAAGCAATATTTCTATTAAAAGAGTTTGCGAGGGCTTCTTTTTTCGAAAATATTTTCAATAAAATAAATGAAAAGCCTAGTATTTAAGAGTCCTTCTTCATATAGTCCATGTAAAAGGTTGAGCTGCACCACGACAGAAAAAATCAGCGCAATCTTTCTTTTAAAAGAGTTTGCGAGGATTTCTTTTTTCGAAAAGATTTTTATAAAAATAAATGAAAATGTTAAAGTTTCGAAGTCGAGCTTCACCGCGATACACTTGCGTAAGTAAATCCACTTTGTTCCGCTATTATAGCACGCAAATTTACTTACACAAACTTGACTTCTAGATCGACTTTTCAGATTTACACTGGGCTTCTGTAGTAATTGCGTCACTCTGTATAACATGTCGCAATGCTATTAAAATGTGTTGTAACTCAAAATATGTGAAATTCAAAATTGTACTGTTACTGAACGTAAAATGATGATGAAATTTTGGTTTTTTTTTCATGAGACTTGTCAATTTATGTCTCAGGGTTACGGGCGCAGTGGCAGTGCCCTTAAGATTTTTGTGATTTTAACATTTTTAACGTCTGAGAGGCACTGCAACTGTTATGGACAGGCATGTCGCTTACCACTAGGCGCACGACTTGTTCGTCCCGTTACTTTGGTAAGTATTATTGTGTATAAAAAACTTAAATCTCTACACGTCAATACAACCGATTTAAAATATCGTGAAAAACCAATTAAAGATGAGATAAACTTTTTGTACGCTAGTTTTGGACAAAACAGTATTTACTTAAAATAGGAAATTAATATCTCCTTTTATTTTTAAATAAAAAGCAGGAGTTTGTTTAGATGTCTACTATAAACTTTGACACAATTACATAAATGTTAATAATATTTCACGGGAAGTGAGTAATTCATTTTTCATCGATTCTGAAAAAATTTTGAGTTAAAATACTATTGCATTAACAGTGCGATGTGACAGTGGCTATTTTCTTAGGAACATCATAGAAGGGAAGAGAAGCAGATGTCGATCGAGACTAATTATTATTTATATCAGTTAAGGTTCAAAGTTAATGTCCTGTCGTATTAGGAAATCAAATTTAGGGCGCTGAACAGAGATTGGTGGCGTTTACTTCACCGACAAGAACCTAGCTCTTAAATAATAATAAGAAGAAAGTATAACATGTGATGTAAATATTAATTTAAACTTTTTTTTTCAATAGGTGTCGGAATACGGGGGCGGAGCTCGTGTTATCTGGGCCATGTCGGCAGGCGACAGGGAGGCAGAGGCGCAGAACAAGAAGGGCGAGGAAAGCGCCTCGCCCGATCTTGACAGCCGTGCCGCCGCTGCTATCAAGCAGTACTGGTGTGCTGGCCTAAGAGCCGTCGAGCTAGTGAGTACTCTTCTATATTAGTGGGTATATTCCTACGACAATAGTCTTTGGAGCATCTTCGCCAGAAAGGCAAAAATTACTGAAGCGAAAAAACCCTAATTTGTGGAATATTTTTAAACTTTTTCTGTCGTTAAGAAATAGTATTTTATGCAATCGTTGTATGAGGGTTCTTAAGGTCGAGAACCGTAATAGGTATCAGATTTTAAGATCTAATTATGTAATGATTGCAAACAATACTTTTTCTACGAGTTAATAAAATAATGAAACACAACCAATATTATTGTATATTTTGTTAACAATCCATGACAACAAACTCAAAGGAAAGCAAACAAAGGCAAACGAAAACAAACGCTCCAAAACAAAAGAGAAACAGAAGAGTGGCCAAGTATGCCGCTTTATATTTAACCAAATTTTTTTTATAATGGTTTATGGCCGGCTTGTAAGACCTTCAGGTCAATTTAACCAATCGGGAGGCAGTAAAACGTCGGGCAGCGTTTTAGTTTTTAGTTGATATTTTAATTATCAAAAATACGACGTTCTTTTTTTGAAACTCATTAGTAAACTCAATAGTTCTGTGTACAGAACTATAATTGAATATTATAAATAAAAAATTGAGATCGTTTTGTCACTTTGTTTTAAACAGAATTAGAGTAAGATTTTTTAATTGTGTTTTTGTATCTGTGAAATTTCGACTTATCCTTCCTAACGTAAGCACGGCAGTATAACGCTACACTACAATAGAGCTTACTTATGACCAAGGATGTGACAAAATTTAGTTACCAGCACCCGTTATTCTCATTTTACATCATCATTAATGAAAGATGACTAAAGGGAAAACATAATGAGGTGAAATAACGTAAATAACAGCATAACATTTGCAGTTGAAGTCAAAATCGATGCAATGAAACGAGTATAATTTATCTTCTACATTGCAAGGACGCGGGAAAACTACAGGTGCCTGAACCTGTCATCACTGTGGCCTTGGCTTAATATGACTTCACTTTTATCTAACCAGGGCTTCAATACAAAGCAATGCTTGTTCTATTGTTAACAACTACCAAGTACGTAATTCGTGGGCGTTTTACGCGTAGGTAGATGGAAAATTGCAAATTGTGTGCGAATTTGTAAATTTGTTAGTGTCGCGAAGGGTTCTAGTTTTAAAATCACATGGACTGTTTTTGGACTTTGGCTACAAGGCCATAAGTTTAAAAAAGTGCTTGTCGTCCAATACAAAATCGATTCTATTTTGACTGTACTCCAAGCTTTTCATTGGATAGAACAATCATAATATAATGACAACTTTGGGGTGGTCTACAATTCGTCAACTTTGTGCGTCAAGCGCGTTTAAATTTTTTTCAAATCATCTTTCTATTGAATTAGATAGTATTGCGATAGGCTGCTATTCTAGAAAGAATAGAGTATTTATTTTGGTGACATTTCGAAAATGAAAAGAATAAAAAAAACAGATGAGACAAGTTGAAAATTTGCAAATGAAATAGAACGTGCATAGCGAAAGTGCTAGTTTAAGTAACTAAGCTAACCTTAAGCAAACCACAAAAGCGAGAGCGTTTAAAACCTATAATTTCACATTATAGTTACGTACAAATGATATTAAGCCATTTGTCAGATAATGCTAACATTTAGAATGGAACGCAGTAAAAGCAAGACCTAGGCAATAACGGTTAAGAAACTAAGAAAACACTTGACAGAGGAAAATATATTTGCGGTGAATATTCAACGGGAGAAAACGCGACAACGTACGAATGACACTTTCACTCCAATAGCTTACAGAAATAACGCTTGTTTTAAATGTTTTTAGTAATTTTTTTGCCTGTACGTGAGCTTCGGACTTGAGGTAGTAGAAAGGAAAATGAATAAAAATTTTATGAGAATCTAGTTTGATGCGATTCGATTGAATCTAGTTATAAAGAAAGCCTTTGCGAGTGATCTAGGTAGGTTAGTAATTTACAGAACAGCCAAACCGGAAATCTGTAAACTTGTAAAATTTATTCCACACATTAATTTTGCATATTCAGATTTTAAAAATTAAACTTTAAATAAAAAGAAACTGGACAGATTTTTCGGATTGTATTAAAAACAGTCTATTGCAATGATCCGTGGATGTTACCATTTTGACGCTGGTTAGCCCACAGTAGCGTATGGTTGGCAGATAGACAGATAGTAACGGTAGAGCACCTTTTGAAAGGCTTCGTTCAGGGAAGTACCGCCACCTTACCAATTTCTGCCACCATACAGTAATGTGAGCATGACCCGTTTAGTTCTGGCAGGTAGTCTCGATCTGAGATGTTTAAATTAAATATTGTAATGATAAATGTATTCAAATGATATTTACAAATAGCAACACCTAGAGTTTCTTGCTCATTCTTTTCAGGGGAATTTGCCTTACGAATTAACAGTAGAGCTCCTTGTGAAAGAGTTCGTCCAGGGAAGTACTGCCACTTTACCTATTTCTGCCGCCAAGCAACAATGTTAGCGTTACTGCGTTCCGGTTTAGAAGGGTTAAGGGTGCTAGTGAAATTACAGGTACATGGGATTTGTCGAGTTATGTTTCAAGATGTCGAGCGCAGTGGTAGTGCCCTTCAGATCGTTGTGATTTAAAGTTCTGATTACCACCAGGCGCACGACTTGTTTATTTCACCACTTGGTATCATTAAAAAAAGACGGATTGATGACCGCAGTCTGACAGTAAGGTGCGTTCTTTTGTTTTGGGTGATTATATCACATGTTTTGAACGGCTTGACGAGACTGGTCTGGTAAAGCCACCCTCTACCGTTTCCTTTTAATCTCCGATATACAGCTTTAAGATATGCCAATGTGTATTATTATTTTCAGTGTCTGGCCATAATCGCGATTGGGCTGATGGTGGGCGCACTGTACGCACCCCAGGTGGTGCAGTCGGACCACCGACACATCGCTCTCATCTACTCTGCTTACTCTAGTAAGTCTGATGTTTAACTTTCCTATTCCCTTTACACGTGTTTTCTTGTGAGTGACACTTTAGGTGGAATCAGTTCAAACATTACATTTTTAACCAAAACATATTAAAAGAAACCATTTAAAAGTTTTTGCGATCTCATCGACTCTCGTTAACAAGAGTTAACACAATCGGGCAAACCATGACCCGATTGTATCGGTCGTACTAATCTTCCAATTTGCAGCCGATTGTGGCCGCTCTGCCTTCATGGTCAAACGCCTAACGCCGTGAAATTCAGACAAATGGCGACAATTAACTTGGTAAATCAAATAGCAATAAAGCTGTAGTACATAGATGTAGATCGACGTCAAGGTACACTCGTAGGTAGTGACAAACTTAGCGAAGCAAATGCATCATAGTTTAGAACAAGTTTCGGGCGTCAATGTAAAACCACTTAACTGCCATTTGTACAGCGGACATTGAATTTCAATGGTGATTTGAATTCTTCGCAAGAGCAAACACTTTTTGCCAATAATGGTAGTAGGCATTGAGATGCATGGTCAGCCAAGAGTTGAGCACTCCAACAGGCGTGAATTGCTTTTATGAGAGTTTTTGTTAATTAATCATAAATTTACCGCATCAATGAAAACCATGAATTCACGATTTAGATAACGTACATGATTGTGTGGTTTCAATCAAATTGACTCCTAACTATACGTAATGAGATAGGGTCCACTCATTTCACATGGAGTGCGCTGTTTATCGAATGTTTTTTTTATATATAACCTTTTGAAAGAACAAAATTTTAACACGATAAATGAACAAAAATATGAATAAATGTCATTGCAGCAAGTAAAATTCAATTCTAAATTCAATTTCACTTCGTCATTAGCTGGAAAATTGGTTTCATTGCACTCTGTGTGTGAAAGCGACAAGCGGCCGACTGTCAAACGTAAAGGATTTATAGACTTCCTCCATTTCGAGTTATTGTTAAAGCACACACTATTGCTTATTTATGAAAGGAATAATATTATTCGCATAATTTTATGCATTTTGTGGTACGAAGCATTACAGGTTGCACTTCATAAATCAGTCGATTGAACTGGGTGGCATGTAAACATCAAGTTGAAAATTATAGCTTGGTAGAATTGTTCAATTTCATGTTACTACAACTTGTTACTCAATAGCCGTACGTCTTTCAAATATAAAACCATCCGACACTGTAAATATTTGTTGCTAAGCGTTCGGTACGCTTATCAAAAGTGTTTGCTCCGTATTCATTGTATTGGCAGCATTATAATTTAACCGAAATTCATGTCATCTACAGGCTTCATCATCATCACTGGCGTGCTGCTTCTGGCGAGACTCTTCGGTGAAACCGTAGGCTGGAGGACCTCCATCGCTTTCTCTGTTCTTGGCGTCATTATGTTCACGGCCGCCGCTGCTGTCATTTTCTACGGTGCGTAACAGTTTTTTATGCACTTCCATTACACGCATCCATGTCATACCGTATGCATGATACCATTGGGTCTCTTGAATTCTTACATAGTATGTATATTATAAATCTGTTCTACTATCTGTATCTAGCTGTACTATCTATCATTTGCTTAATGGTCTGCCTATTGAAGTATTGATGTCCAATGCTTTCTTCGTCTAGTCTAAGCACGTAAAGACAGGAAATTCAAAAATTCGTTGCTAAAACTGGACAACTTTCAGTACATGCGTGGGTTATAGAGCTACAATTTAGTAATTATAATGTTTTAAAGTTGGTACAAGGACGTCACTAATTTAGCATGGGGTGGAGATGACCGAGTTAGGAGCCGAGAGATGTGCCAGGTTATTTGGCAGATTTCCAGTCTTGCTTTATGATAGTCGTGTTCACTGGTATATACGGAAAATAAACAAAAACTTAGTTCTGGACATACAGAAGCACATTTTATGAAATAATTTATCAGGGATGGGTACATATAATAATTCTATGTTGTAGTCAGGGAGGTATTTGTAGATCTGTATAATTTCGCAACGATTATTCTCACTTCATCCTTCTAAATTCTTCCATTCCTAATGTAACCCCTGTCGCTCCCGCAGATGTTGACTATATGAATGGCTGGCAAACGCACCGTTTCTATGATGGTATGTGGCACCTGTCTAAGCAGAATTAATATGCACACTGCGCCTCTGGGCTTTGGACCCACTTGGCTGTACAAGGCTTGGCTTTGCACAATTAAAACTATTTGTCTTCTATTCCTTTGAGATCTGTGTTATGGTTTCCGTTCGATTCTATTGTACACTTGGAATAATTAATTTAAATTTGCACTGTAAGTTTTTGCGCTTATTACAAAGTATATTTATTTGTGAGTGTATATAGTCTTTATATTGGGTTTGTGAAAGCATCTCTGTGTGTAATTTTTTAGTTAAAATATTAAAACAATTTAGATTAAAATGTAACATGAAAATGGGATTGTTTTTCAGATTGGCACAGATCCTACTACGCCAACCTTCGCCCGAACAAACAAGCATACGATCTTCTGATAGCATCCGGAGTATTTGCTGTGATAGACGCAGCGGTATTCCTCTTCCACGCTTTCTTTACCTTCAAAAAAGAGGCTGAATACTAAACAAAACCTATGCCTCGTTAAAGTTATAACTTAAATTTCAAGCTGCCGTAATATTTTAGATTCGAATCTCAAGACTTTTTCATTTATTTTAGGTTTTTTTCAAATCTCAATGTTACGTGTATGTAATGGTAAGTTTAATCGTGTTTTGTATTTATCCATTTTTAGTTGTACATACTTTTGCAATATTGTCCTATTTGGTAGCTGTTGACATTGTACATTTTAATTTTGCAAACTATATAATTAAAAATAAAATAGGATTTTGGATGTTGTCCACGTGTAGCAGCATTAAGAAATAAAAATCAAGAGAGCAGCTATTATAGTTAATTTAAAGGTACTTGTAACCAGCAAAATATTTTGGCCGATGAAGTGCAAGTAAAAAGTTAGAGGTAGATTGTAGTGTTTCTCTTAGGCGTCTGGTTGTTTATCTTAGGAAAGCGGTTGTGTGGACTTGTTTACGGCGGAAAATAAATAGGTCTATGTGAAAAGGTGTAAAAAATCATAACTACATTTTTGCTACGATTAAACTAGGCCAGTTTACTATATATATGATATGTTTGTAATGTTTATGTAGTACAGTATTCGAGTGCATCGGCTATAAAATTGCGAATTTGCAGTTAGAGCCTTATAGCCCGGCTTTATAGCTGTATGAAATGTAATGGTGTTTTTCATTTTAATGAACGTGTATAGTTTCGTAACACAATTTTATGCAATTACGATTTATATTTTTTTTGTATAATATATTAATATCAAATAATAAATTGCGATCAGTTTAATTTACGATTTGATATTACGTACTGCGAGTTATTACTGAAACATTCCGGTAAAACCAACTTATTTTATAATTTTAACATAATTTTTAATTATTTCCTTTAAGTGAAACGAAGCAAGACCACCGCAATTATTGTCTTGTAAAAATAATTGGGTAGAAATTTTTATAATAGTAATTTAAAAAAATAGAATTAGATTCCATAATTTATGATACTGTTTCTCTATTTCACAATTATATACTGCGTATAAATGCAGATGAATCAATTAACGCAACAAATTTATTTATGAATAATATAGTTTAATGTTAATTTTTAAGGTTATAATGTTTTATAGAAAGGGTGAACCAAAGCAGTAATCAGTATCCGTCCAGTGGTAGTTAAGTTTCTTTCGTCTTTCCTTTATTCCTTACCTTTTTTAGCCCAAAAGCGGTGGCGTGTCACCAGAACGTACGTACATTACGTAAATTTGATCTTTATTATACTTTTTTGGCTGACATCACAATTGCCAATGTCTCAACAAAAAAGTCAAAAACTTCCAATCAGAATTCTGGCGCATTTACACCAAGTTGCTTGCCCGCCGAAGGTGTGTGGAAGTGAGTCGTCTGACGACGGTTTTGCAGCTGGAGTCCACCGAAGCGACTGGGTGCGTCGTTTTCGGCAAGGCGAAGTAGTCTGCCGAAGGCAGTAGACGACCCGGTGTAAATGAGCCATTAGATGTTCAACAGTATTTCTATATGAAATTGGAAGTTAGTTGTGGTGATATACTCAAACTATTGTTTGGTTACTATAGAAAGAGACCAGGCTGCTGACATTTATGCAGCAATATCGACTAAAATGCAAAAAACAGACGATCAGTTTACGTATATTGGTATTATTCTCGATGACCTTGAACTACAGAACCTTTCGCATAATAACCGAACTATATTCCAATTACCCAGATTATTGTCAAATTTCAGCACCAGATAGGCAATATATTAAAAAATATCTCAGGAAAATAAGTAAAATCGTGCAGCATAGTCTGTCTGGTGGCTTCATTACAGTTATTATCGTGTAACTATGATTTCTCTTTAAATTCATGTTTAGCTTAGTAAATTCAATTTTTTGTTGACTGCGCAACTCTTGACCTTTGATCCAATTTGACCCAGAACCGATCTGATTACTTATCTTTATTGCTAATAATACTAATTTTCGTTATTTCCTTTATTTACACATTTAACACGTTTATATAAGCTAATAAATAAGTACATTAAGTGTTTTGTATTCGTAAATTAATTACGTATAAAATCGGCTTAACAAAATTATATTAATTAAAATAGAATATTTTTCATCGTCATCTAAATTAAGTTAATTGTTACAATTATTATAAAATTTAAATAAGAGTTATGAGGGTTTATATAATCATGATATAATGACAGAGACACACTACAAAAAAGATGCGCTGATCTTCGATGTCAAATAACGCGTGTAACACTTTTTTTAAGGTAATGTAATTAGAAAGAGTATTGCAAGCTTGTTGTGTCATTAAACTGTCGTGGATCTTTCGCCAAGTGTGATGCTACAGTAAAATAAATATTACAATATAATGCAATATGTATAAATAGTCCGGCGCTAATGTTACCTTAAAAATACTGCTTGCAATAAAAGGTGCTCGCGGCAACACAAAGTACACGAAATCATCTCCATATATATAATAAATAACATATGTATTGTAAATAATTTAAGTTGTGTATCCGTTGTAATTGTTTTATTAAATAAATATAATAAGCGTGTGTTTATTTTAACATCCTATTCCAAACCTAGTGATTCTGAAATTCCTTTGTCGCTAATTATTTTAAATTACTCCTGCTCCCATGAAGTTAAAAGATATAGAATAACAGCTATTTATTTCGGTAGAAATAAGTTTGTAATTCTTAAATCAAAATTGCGAGACGTCATTTGCATTAATTTCTACTTGTTTCTACATATCTCTATCTGTTGAATGTATGTACAATAATAACGTACACACTCATAGCCCCGAACTAGGGAGACCCTGTATCGCGGGTGCCATGGACACACATATAGACAACCACAAATTACACCCAAACTCACGAGATAAATAAATGTAGGCCATACAAATATTTCTCACGGCTCGGGAATCTCTTGGGTGGCAGTCCAGCATGATAACAATAAAGAGAATAAAGTGCAAAATCAAAAACTCATAACGCAAGTGCCTTGTAAGTTTAAATTATAATGTTGGGTCATGGAAATATTTCATTTTGAAAAAAATTATATGTTTCAGAAAAAGAAAGTTTTTCCGGACATTATTCCTTTAATTTTCCACATTTGACGTGGACAGCTGTCAAAAGTTGCAGTTACTAAGAACGAAAATGATGGAGCTATTAAACTGTTTTTTTTCGCTGTTGTGAAATCATTTTAAATTTCGTTTTTCTTTATTGGCTTCTATCTATACAAGTTTATTTTATAATTCACGCTAAATAAAATTTCAAAAGATATTTGTAAATGTAGAACACAATATGCAATATATAAATTATATTTTTCCAATTTTTTCCAACCTATCGGGAATTTTTCCGGTAAATTTTCCACTATTTGAAATTCGGAAAATTACCCAACTGTAGGTGTATATGTATTTGTTTGGCTCAAATGTTAATAATCCAAGCCAAGAAACAACTCGGCTGCATATCAAGATCCATAGACAATAAAAATAACCTCCGAAGACGGACCGTGTCAAATGTAAACAAACATATTTTTAGAAATTTTGTCGACATATTTCAAAGTTAGATGAATTATCTTACCTTTTCAGCCTGCGCCAAGTAGAGCCAGAGCTTCCTCCATGTAGAAAACTTTTTCTGGTCACTGAAATTGTACCGCATTTCCTTCGACGCATATCTTGTACTTAGCGGTGATCTATAGTTGCAATACTCAGTATTTTGCAGTTCAATTGGAGCATCAATTGAAAACATGTTTACTGCAGTAAAATTGGTTGTTTAATAATCTAGACAAATACACAGATAATAACAACCGCGCATAACAGCTGACAGAAGACTGAATGAATAACCTACAAATAAAAGCAAGAGTAACGAAGGTCACTCGACACGCGGGAGAATTCGATTTTGATAACAAGGTTATCATGGCAGCTGACGTAATTTGGATTTGGTTATTGTTACTTTTATTATGAAACTAGGCCATTATTAGGCCATAGTTGTGAGATATTGCTTTCTATACAACTACAATGTTACGAAATAGTTCATTGTTTAGTTTACAAACACCTTTTCGCATAGGTACTTTTTAGGTTGATATATATAGAATTTGCATTGGAAACGACGTTTTTGTTATACTTCATTTGAAATTATTTGTGTACTTAAAACATACCTATTTCTGTTCTATCTATTAAAACAATTTATTAACACACCACACGTAAAATAGGCGCCTTAACATCAATTTGGGGACACCAGTCCGTATCACCTAGTACTTATTAACGAAGAAAAATTCCGACGATCTGACAGGACCCAAATATGACTGTGTCTGTATGCCAATCCAGGGTAAATTCCGATCTTTTTGTTAGTAATGACGGTAGAGTCTAGGGGAGTAATTTCACAAAAATAAATGAATAACATGGTAGTAAAACATCATTATATTCATTGCAATCACTTACAATTTATACTTAGTTAGAATAGGTACTTTTTTACTTTGCCTCGGGCTAGGTATGCTGAGACTGTAATTTTTTTAAGCATATATGAACGCTATGCTTGGCAACGATTCTTGCGGAGTTGAAGCTTCTATTCTAAATCGCGACCACCGCAGAAATGGTCTACTTGTCGGTCTGGTATCGGATATACATTTCGGAGAGTATGAGCAAGAATTTTACTATTTAGTCCTTCGGGCTACTAGAATTCAGAACACTCCATCCTTATGTTATTGACTTACCACCCACTCTCATAAAGCGCTTTGCTTCCTTCCTGGTACGTACTGCATGGGAATAGAGTACACTCGGCATCTCATCATTATCATCCTATTTAAGAGCCAGGCTCTTGTCGATGCAGCCTCCTCCACTCCTCACGGTTCATACATCAGCTCATTAACCTCTCTGTTGCTGCTCATTTTGATCATCTTCTTTATTTGTTCACTACATGCCATTCTTGCTCTTCCTCTCTTTCTTTTCTTCTATCTTCCCCTCAATTATCACTCTCACAAATTCGTCATTACGTAATAAATGTTCAAACATTTCCCTCTTCCACTATCTATAATTTAGATCTCCATAAGGGGATTATCACATTGCCGCGCAAGACGCAGCAGAGTGCGCGAGACAGGGCGGATCATGCACCCCGCACTCCAGCGCGGAGACGTGTAGTCAGTGTGTTGTACGACGCGTGTTTTCTATAAAAACTTAGATACTTCGGTACAAAGTTAAAAACGCAGCTCCGCACACTTGCGTGACTCGGAGCAGTGTGATAATCGCCTTACTCTTCTCTAAACTTCAAAACTTACGGTATTTGTGTTACCCGAAAGCTACAATTTAGGGCTATTTAAGGCTCCAGTGAATAAAACTTTAAAAACACGTATAATAGCGGGTGAGATGGTAGCCAAGTTTTCGTCTATTTTACGCAAAAATAATATATACGACGTAAGGTATTAATTATATAAGTTTCATCAGATTGTGATCTTTAGATTAAGGGCAGTCGATTCCTTAACATATCTCACCCCCTAACCGTCCATTTGTTTCTAAGTAGAGCAGTGTGAAAAAGGTGCCTTCTACAAAAATTAACCTATTAGCAGTAAGATTCAATTTGATATGACTTCTTAACAAACTTTGTTTTAAGAATTTTTTTAAGCCAAATTGATTTTAATTACATTAGTTCAGCCAAAAGCTGGGATTTCTTTACACTTATCTGTTGAATGCGTAAGAAGGTTCTCAGAACTAAAAATTCGGGTACGCGTCGTCCGCTCGTAATGTATAGGCCCCGAGGTGGCGCGCGCGGTATGCCTGCGTGCCCCTCTTAGTGATGAATGTCGTGGAGTTTCTTCAGCTCCACTCCAACGGGAAGGGGCCCTCGGCAAAGGATCAGCGCCGTCGGGACCGCGGAACAGTGCGAAAGCGTCCCCGTAGTCCTGGCAAAGGGTGCAGGGACGGAACACCGTGGGGTATTAGTTTTTTTTTTTTCATTGTTACACTGTCTTATCAGTGTGCCACTACATCACATACAACTATTCCTTTTGTTTCCAACTAAGGAATCATATACTTATAGTAGCTTCTTATCACTCCAAGGACGCGCATCGCGAAAACATGTTATTTATGTGTTGGAGTTCACTTTAGAGCACGACACTATTTCATCAACTGTTGCGTCGCCAAGAGTCCATTTAGTATTATAATGTACAGAATTACGATAAGAATCGTTATTCTTACTTTGTATAAGCTTGAATATTATATTCAGTAGGTAGGTAGGTACTGAATAAAATATTAATTTCTTACATAATATATTGTGTTATGCAATTATAGTTTCAACAGAACAATTTATCTTTTTTGTATGCGAATAAAAATCACCCATAAAAATTGTTTTAATATATAATAAGCAAGGTGATTTATACTATATCAAAAGATTTGATTATGAACAAATTTTTTACTAACGAAATCTTTTTTAGACAGTACTTTATTCGAAATAATTCACAACGTATGCTATGTATGTGAAGGCTCTTACAGAAAAATATAAAACTAGACAAAAGTTATTAAAAATTTTGGAAATTGGAAAATTTATATGAAGAAAATTTTGTCGAGGGCCGCGCCCTGGGGTAGTGGTGTTCATGTAAAAAAAAACGATATTTTATCCGATGTGATATATCGAAATGTTTTATCAATATTTTGCGATGTAGTGGTACAAAACCTTGACATTTTCGATATATCGTAAATAATTCAAAAGATAAAAGGAAAGAAATTTTACTAAGAGTAAATAAGTAAAACCACCAGTTTTGACACAACAATGTATTTTTTATTCTTATATTTTCATTGGCTAGCCGCACACATACAATATTATTGACAATCCAAGTTTATGTATGTTCCCATCAGCAATATTACCCGCATACAAGCAATATTATTGTCAATGTGTGCGGCTAGCCCATGAGAACATAACCACTACGTTACACTGACGGATGACCAGCGAATCAGCGCTCGAAGTGCGTTTCGTTCCTGCAAGTACAATCTTGAATTGTGTACTTTCAACTTTGCACGATTTTTCTTGTATCGGATAAAATGTATTGATAGTACATATCGATACCGAATGATACACTAATATCAGATTGATTCGATTCGGCATATATGTATCGATATTTTTTTCAATATCGATATATATCGAGCACTCCTACCCTGGGGCATCGTGCCTAGAATTTCCCCTTTGAATAGTTAAACTTATAACTTATGCGGAAATAATTGCCAGCCTTGTGGTCACAGGGGGCTTTTACAGCTGGCGATCTGACAGCTCGTTCGCTAGAAGTTCGCCTGTGCCAGTGACTCAGGGTTTCAACCGCAAAAGGCACAATTCTGTAACACTGAGCAAGGTATTTGAACCTTTTGCGGTTCTCGGTCGCTCTGGCGATAGAGCCCTTTTTTTTTACGGGGGGGAAATCTGGCGATAGAGCCTGCGCCACACACGTATGCACGGACATGGGAGGGGGCCAGTGTCCACACAGGTTGCGTCCCACACTAGCTGTCTCCGTAACTGCCATGGACCGACAGTCATACCGTCAGGGTCTCGTGCCTTGTAGTGGAATATATAAGGATTGATAGTTTGTTATGACGCTGATTTGTTTAGCTGTAAAGAATAAAAAATACCAAATACTATAATAATATCAAATTTTATTTACACAGTTGTAAAAAAGGTTTATTGTTATAACAAAATTAAATTGAAATTATTTCGCTTACGTTGTTGTTTGAACAAAATAATATAATGCCATTACTGAGTAATATAATTCTACGGAAGTAGGGTGTTTATTTGATTACGTTTTGAAATTAGAAGACTTAAGAACTATAATGACATGGAAACATTGAAATGAACCTAAAGCTCAATATACATTGCCGCGGAATGGCATGGAACGGACGCGACAATTTCGCCTAGTTTCGCCGAGAAGGCGCGCGTCTGAGCCTGGAGGCTATGGTACGTTTTCAGTTCTTTAGTCTAGATATTTTACACAAGAATGCTGGCTTTATTTATTGATTTTATTTCACATATTTGTGAAGCGGTAGAAGACGAAGCGCAAAGGAATGAGAACAGAAAAAGGAAAAGAAATATTTGGGTTCCAGATTTATCGAACAAGCGAAAACTTTTTAGCCTGCATGAAACATTTTGCAAAGATTGATATCTCTATACTGGTTTCGTAGACATTTGACGCTACGTTCCTGCGAACTCGCCAAATGCCGCCGACGGTATACGAATTCCAGAGAATGCGCGAGAATTTGGCTTGTATCTAGTATGCACGTTATGCAATGACATAAAGTTCATTCTGCTACGTACATTTTCGTTATTAAAATTTGCTTCCATTCCATTCCGCGGCAATAAATAGGCCGAATGTCTATTCCTTACAGAGGAGCAGTAGTGTTTCTTTTCTTTTTTTGCGTTTGCGCGCGCAAAACTTTACAATTTATTTTTCCATAGACATAACATCAAGTCACAGAACGAAATTAAAAATTTACGTTTCGTTCTTTAGAATTGTGTTTTTATGCTAGATTGAAATTTCACAGAATGGCCAAGTCATTCTGTTCGTAGATTGTGTAATGTGAGTGGATGCCTAGAAAGCTTCACTCACTGCATTTCGATAAAAATGGAGGGCATTAATTTTAAATAACGGTCGACCCACACGAGGTAAGAACAATTTTGTGTAAAGCGTCATCTGTCTTATTTGTAGCGCACTAACAACACATTAGGTTCATATCCATGTCGTTACCGTGTCGTCGTCTAATGTGAATAACGATTATTTGGTGTTATAAGATACCGTTGTTGTCTATTAGGTGTAATTATAAGACACTTAATTGCTGAGATGTTTCTTAATAATTATTTTTCTTGGTGTAATATTCAAGTGGCAGTTCAACAATCCAAAGTTTGCGCACTGCTTTGTATAAAATTCACAACAAAATGAAAATAAAATCCAAAAACAGTCATTGTACATATCAAAATATTTAAAATTCAACATGATACACGTACACAAAACTAGAAAACATACAAAATCTAAAATTTACAACTTTTTATCCTTTACTGCACATGATTTATATGAAGATATTATGTTGTTATTGTTTTTTTTTCATGTATAACAATAATGAAAAAGCGTGGTGCAGAACAATATAATGCTTATGCATCTGTGTGCTACAAATTTTTTTTCTCAACCATGCTTGGAAATGTGAGCTTTTCTTTTGAAAAGAGAAGATGCAAAGAGTTTGATTTTTGCCAATGCCTTAAAAATGGCGGGTTTTTGTAGTTACGTTTTTATATGAATGATTTTTGAATTTGAGTATATTACGTTTTCAGTTTCTTAATTATTTGTTATCTTTATAAGCTGATAGTTTTATATCAATGCTCAACAAATAAACAATGACTTGATATTTGCCATACCTCAAAATTAGTAACAGAAAGTAATATTAACTTCTCGGCCTAATCAGCAAAATCCGTATGAAAATACACTTTTTACAGCTACATGTTACTACTACTACGTAATATTTGAAGTGGCTAAAGCTTCAGCGTAAAGTTTTTCAGCGCAGTGCGTGTTTCTTTTTTTAAATTCAGTTTTAAAAGGTCTACGGTTAGAAAAAAAATTAAAACTTATGCTTTTTTTTACGCCTTTCCACTATGGCGTCCAGCCTTTGGCCATGACTTAGGCTTATGTATTCGTTTTCCCGCTTTTTGGTAACTTATTTTTTAAACATATTTGTATAATTTCCCAGCATTTATTGAGAAAAGCTTTGTTAATCTCCACGGAAATAGCAACCGCTCGACTCATCTCATACTCGTCAAGCAATTATTTACTTCTTGGACCTTGAAGTAATGTTAATTGTACAGTTCCTCTTTTTACTCGAAGTTACCTAAATATCCAGTAATATCAGTTTTTATACATTCGTGATTTAATCTTACATAAAAATTAACATATGTAGTTATTTACCAAAAACCCATATACATATAGGGAAAGTGAAGATTGGTTACATTTTGCAAGACTAAGATAGGCGTATTGATCTAGCCATTTTGTTTTACACGTATTTTCGCATTTCGCAAGTTAACGTAAAAATTTAGTTACGACAAATTACTTTGTAACCCAGAATACGACGTAGTAAATTATATTTCGTATTGTCATATTCTACCTCTATGGTATGTACTCAACGTCATAAAGAAAAATGACCAGTCTTCAATTTATCTTATACAATAATTCCATTCTCTCATTGCCTCAAGTCAGTTGTGTTTAAGTGATTTTATTGCACTGTATACAAGAATATCCTAGTTCTAACCCCTATGACGTATTAGGCTTTATTCTTGAGCGACTTCATCATCTTCTCGAGTTTCATGGCCTTCTGCAGGTCGCCTTTGATCTTTAGTTTGCCCATCATAAAGGCGGTGGCTGGCTTCAATTTTCCTAAACAGAAAATTTATTATTTTAAGCGAGTGCAAGAAAAGTATGCAGGAAATGCACCAATCAAAGACGGAAGGACATTACAATTTTAGTCAGTCACCAGTCACGTTAAGTACGCTGTAGGTTATTTAAATTAACGAATTAGACAGGTTCAATATCACGTGAAATTCGGTTCGAAATTCAAACGGAGCAATCACGACGCTTTATATGTTAACGTCTTCCGGTGCAGATCCTTTAGTGCATACATACATAAGCTCACGCCCTAGTCCCACAGAATGGGTAGGCACAGACCACGGAATGCCACTTTATCCTGACAACTCTATTCTAGATAAGTATAAAATAATCGGTAACAAATTTTCTAAAATAGCTCCGTCATAAATGCAAATAGTTGTAGGTACTTATAGTCCATTCCACATAGGACGGGTTAGTACCCACTATTATTATTTTTATTATTTATGTGACATTTAATTAATCTCTCAACCAGATTACGCTTTTCGTAGTAAATTTGTTAAAACATACCAAACTCAAATTTTGTTGCAGTTGTAATTTTACATAAAAACTACAACATATCAAGGAGACAGAAAATGAAATGATTAAAGATAACAATAAATTACGTCAACTACTTGATGCGTAAAACGGAATATTTTCCATAGAGGTTTACGCCATAGAATCAATAAATCGAATCGATTATTGTGTATCTTGCGTTGATACGTTATTGCAAGGTCATTACAATATACGTAATATAATGACCTTGTATGTGGGTAGTTTTGTTTTGAGTTTTGCATAATGTTTTTGGAGTCATTGTTAAAATTTCGCTTCGTTGCTGTTGATTTTTTGTGAAGTTTTTAGTGACTTTTATAACATAATAATTAAACCTTATTTGTTGTTTATTATTTTCTCTTTAACTATAGTCTCTAAATTGATTCTCTCTTGATTATAAATTATCCCGATTTTAATCGATTTTTTTCATTCCATTTTACATCACTACATCTCGAGAAACTTCAAATTCAAACGTCACCCACGCTATGTGAAATAAACTATAGTGCTGGTTGTAACTATTTCGGGGCAGTATAAATTGATGAATGAACTAATTTTTTTGTGAGATCAAGTGACGGGATGAACAAGTCGCCCACTGGGTGGTAAGTGATGCTCCTGTCCTAACAGTTGCAGTATCAATAAGTGCTTTAAATCACAAAGATCTGAGGGTCACAGCCATTGCACCCGTCATCTTGAGACATAATTTGTCAAGTCCCATGTGCCTGTAATTTCACCACCACCCTTACCTTTCCAAACAAAGATAGATAAGGTGGCAGTACTTCCCTGGACAAACTCTTTCAGAAGGAACTCTACTTCTACTAAAAATACTAAATTTGAGGGATCTGAGATCTAAAAATATCCGAGGAATCTTTTAATATAACCTAGAGGATTAAACTGTTTCTTTGGAATCAATAGGATCCGAGTACGGATTTAAAAAATGGTAGACACCTTACCGGCAAACATGTCGGCAAAGTTTCCACTGTCCATGGTAAGTGTGGCGTCAGGCGCAGCTTTTGGCTCGCCCTTTCCGCACGCGCCATCGCCGTTCTTCAAGTCCAAGTGCCATACGCCTTCTTCTTTACCTGCGCATTGAAAGTTTACATTAAGCAAGTTCTTTTGGACAGGGCCCCAAATCTTCTAATTTGAAATCATATCAGTTCTGTGTAGATACTGTCAATGGCAGAAATTTGTACGTTTGGTATTTTGCTCAAAGTTAAAGTTAATGATTGTCGGTGGCTAGCCATCGAGTTACTATTCAACTGCCATTGCAATTTTTTGGTATTCTGCACCTCAAAAGGGAGTTGATGATACGTCGACAGCGTAGTGTACTAATTATTGGCCGTAAAGAAAATACATTTAATATATTATTATTAATTATTACATTAATATTAATTTGAAGACTTAATATTAATTATTATATTTATATTGAATTGCTGTTGAAATGAGATAAAAATTAAGATATACATATTTTCTTTTATAATAATATTAAGTGACGGGACGAACAAGTCGTGTGCCTGATGGTAAGCTACACGCCTGTCCATAACAGTTGCAGTGCCACTCAAGAGATTTATATCGCAAAGACATAGCTAAGAAACTACCAGTATAACTTAAATATTTCACACATTAACTGTCCAGAGGATATATATATCATCATCTAAGGTTATAGTTAACAAAATGACAAATTCGTGTGTTGTTTGTGGTTCATAGGTGAATAGACACGGCTGTAAACGACAGCTATGCTACAGTCCTTTCATATTTGGAATGCAAAAAGTAAATAATTGTCATAAAGCCACATGATTGGCCCTTTTAAAATTCGTTGGCGTGATGTTAAAGCCATGTGATTCGTCGGTTTAAATATCCTACAATATGCCTAACGCGATTGGGTTATGATATGGTACACGTAAACTGAACCTTTAACGTTGAACTGAAAGACGGCCTGAGTTTTCTGCACCAGTTCAGGCGTGATGGTCTTGGAGATGGTGGAGAAAAGCACTGTGATTTGACCGCCTGCTGCCTCAGGCCCTGCCTTCGTCTCAGCTTCCGGCTGCAAGCATATTTATTACATAAAACACTTAATATGTGTACTCAACGAAAGTCAATTTAGCCATGCATATTTAGAACTTTAAGAGTCGTATTCCTGAACTCTACTCAATGCTCAAGTCGGGACTTGAGTATGATTTCTAGTGCTGAAATCATATTCGAGTCCTGACTTGAGCATTGAGTAGAGTTCTGGAATACGACCCTAAGAATGTCAATGTCATCCAACAATTATGTACTCTGAAATAATGGCGTCAGCATTGACTTTCGACATTCATCAACAAGGTGTGTGTCCAATCTTAACCTGTCTAGCTTTAACAGAATTAATTTGAAACTGGATACATACCCAAAGCCCACGTATACAGAGGATACACAAAGCATTTGCCAAGCATAAGCTAAATTCAGAGAATATCAGTTATCACGGGCCTCTAATGTCTACGTAGTTGGGTAGGTAGTATTACCATGGTAAAATAAAGTATCATGGTAACTCCGTACAAACTAACAGCGCGGCTTGTATGTATGCGTAGCGCGATATGACCTTGAGTTGACCAGTCAGGAGCTGCGACATTTTAACGCGCGATGCAATTTAAAAGTTTGTTTCAGGTAACCTTTTTATCGTAAAACGCGGCAATATGAGCGATGACGGACTGTTTTATAATTTGAACTATTTTTTGTGGATGGATTTTAAGTTTCTTAAGTGGATTTAGCGGATTATGAATTCTAGTTGCTTAGTAGTAAAAATAAATTGACGGTGAGTGCTTTGTATTGTAAGAATTAAGATTTTTATGATTTTAAGATAGTTATTTATCTGTCTGTAAACGATGAGGCATGTTTATAACTAACGTTTTATATAGACAATGCCAGAAATTAGATATATTAATAAGAAACAAAAACTTCGTATTACTAAACTATAAACACACCAACAAAACTCACGAACGTCAAAACTACGAGGCCTCTCAACAACTATTGTGCATTCGTGATCAAATCACACTCCGCGACTGCTACCGCAGTGCGTTCAATTGCCGTAATTCTATTGTGCCTCATTTACACGCAAAATAGGCGCTTTGTCGTCGAGTTGCGGATACCAGCCCGTTGCACCAAGTACCAAGTACCAAGTGTGCCTCATTTTTGCATTGTGATTGTACCTATAAACAACGCAAGTCATATTATGCTAATGTGTGCGTTCGTACGCGACGCGCGGCGGGCACGCACATATACAAGCCGCGCTGCTACGTTTGCATGTAGTTATCATATATGTCTTATTATACTATGGTATTACTGATAGTGTCTGTCTCGTACAGGTCGTACAAGAGTGTCTTAGTGACAAGAGATTCTCGTTGTGTTAAATGGATTTATTTGGAATTACTTTCTATAAATACCGAAAATGTGTGTTATTTGGCCATTTCTGTAAAATTTATATTATTGAATATCATGACTTTTTGATATTCACCTTTTTTTTTTTTGAGAAAATACTCCTCTAATTTGTTATTATTATTGATACAAAGGTGACCCGAGTAAATAACATTTCAGTAAAATTTCAGTCTAAAGGTAAGCTTTAACGAACCCGCCGGCTCGGCGATACAGCCCGGCGCGGCGGCGGCTTGGTGTGGGCCTTATTTCTAATTTCATCCTATCACACGATTCTAGAAACAAGGCCTCCGTCACCATCCTGCCCGGGTCGGCAGGTTCGGTCTGTAGATCCCTTTAGGAAAATTGGATTTAGTATTGTTGGATATGTTCAAAATGTACGAGACGACGATTCTTGCGTTCAACGTTCCAACCTCGACATATTCACTGTCAGTCATTTTCAAGGCGTCAACCCTTTATCTTCTGATCTCTACAATACTCCAAAAATAATCAGAGAATGTAACTCTTACTTAGTACTTTTAATATAAAGTAATAATAATTAGTAGAGGTTTTTAAAATAGCCTGCTTATAAAGTGAAACTGATGAGAATAAGTCGAATTAACCGGAACGGTATACAATGGGCATGTCTTATATCTATGTAAGTCTGTGTTCGCTTGTAATAATACCTCACTTTTGATAAAGCGTCTGCTGGATAAGGTTCAGAGTTGACTCCAGAATCAATGTTTAAGTAAGTGATTATATATTGTTTACCCAAATGCTCAAGCACCCAACACCGTATCATGAAAGCATGCAACGAGAACAAGTGGTCACAGGTATTTGAAACCTTTTTAGGCTGCCTTGCGTCGCCAGCGGGCACATCCAAAAAGAAGTCCAGTAAGAGGTTTTGTGCGTTCTCTGCGAACAAAGGTTTTCCAATTTGACAATTCAATTTTGACAAGATATTTTTCTGGAGGAGGATTGGAGTTATGGATTTCTCTTCACCTATGACCACATTCGTTCGATTATACATTGAAATAACTGTGCTTGTTTACTTTTATTGACCATTTTTTTTAATATGAGCTTGTTTACTTTTTCATCGTTTTCGGGTTCACCACACTTATAGATGGAGCCGGCTTGAGCCAGGTAGAAAAATTTATTCTTTAACCGAGCTCGAGTCAACTTCTGAGGATGCTTCGCAGATAGGCGAAGCACGTTTAGGATACATTTATGGTGGTGGTAATTGTGACTGTAGTTGCGCTTGTGTTTTTATTTTATGCAGGGATAACTATCTACATGTAAAAAAAAAACCAACTCAAGGGCGCTACTTTGCACGATTTAACCTTCACCGTCTTGTCCTCCTTAGAATAAAATGCACGATCTTTGACCGCAGTATCTATGTAACAGCGATCAGAATTTATAACAGACTTCCAATGAAAATGAAATGTTCAAATGGTGATACATTTAAAGCTCCTTTAAAAGATGGTTAATTGACAAAGTTTTTTACAATGTTAACGAATTTTATACAAAGACATCAAATATTCGACAATTGTGTAATTAACTTATTTATAATTTAAATTTTTGACATTTTAGTTGTAACAAATTTTAATAGAATTGTAATTTTAAGAAATTGTACGCCTTACTTGGGTAAGAATTGTGGATCTAATTACTTGTAAGTAACACCATTACTTCCAATTTTATTAATGTTTTATGTCCACGACTAAGAGCGAAAAAGACGAGTGGGCCAAGCATTGCAGTGTATGCCATCGTGGTGAAAGGATTAGGGGTGCACGAAGGGAGACTCCGCGCATGACGTAACATTATTTTCCTATATATCTGGCGTAAGCTGGCAACAATCGGCGAGTATCTTACGCTGATTGGCAAACCATTTCACCAGGATGGCATACACTGTTTGTTGCGTTGATAAGTGTAGTGACTTCCTTAGGTACATACGTTAATAACAGCGCGTTACTAAAAATTCTTATTGAAATGTTCCCACACTTTCCTGCATCGGTATCAATTAGAATACCTCGATAAAAGGAACATCTATGTAAATTTAAATTTGTTCTAAAAGTTGAGAAAGGAAGAATAAGACGATTTTTAAAGACAAAAGAAATTAAAAATAACTATAACTTATTTTACTTCACTTCCAATGTTACGCCATAAGTTAAACAAAACAAACACGGGCTATGATAGTGCTAAATTGCAATTTACAATCACAAAATGGAGTGTAACGTGTATAACCCTTGAACGATGTAAAAAGGAAATTTGTTTCATTCCGCACATTCACACAATTCTGTATCTTTCCGCGAGTAGACTTCGCTAGTTGACGGGAATGCAATTTACTAGAGTTAATATTTATTTGTTTCTGGTATTATCAAGTTAACAACATTTAGCACATGCAGGAACCTGCTCCAGGGAAAATGTGAGTTCCATTTAAATTAAGAGCGGTTACACATGGCGACTTTTAACCAGCGATGCAAACGCGATACACTCACTAATTATTTACCATCGATACAAACGCGTGATTGCATCACTACACTTGGGATTTATAGGCGATTGCATCGATGCAATCGCGCGTTTGCATCGCTCTTGAAAGTCGCGTTGTGTAACAATTCTAAGCGGTGTCGTGAATATGTAGACAAAGGGACCACATTAACTTGACACATCACGTGCGTCCGCGTTAACTAGCGTCAAGCCTTGCTAGCGAATAGGCGCTATAACCACAGAAGGAATCAAACCTTCTTCTGTTCAAATCGCACGGCGGAGGTGCGGTATCCGCGACGCTGCGTACTAATCGAACTGGAGCTCTTGTGGCTGTCCACTGCCCCCGGCACGTCCAGGAAACCATCAATCATCAGCTTGTCTGCGTTTTCTGGGATAAATTGGCAATAACTTCTATAACATACGCCTATCTCACAATGGAGTATGGACTACGATTTGCCACTATGATTTTTCCTACAAGGGCCCACTTACTATATAGGCTTGTCTTGTGTGTCTTGGTCGATTTACAAGCAGGGGAAACTGATGACCCATCCTTGCCATACGGTCTACGGGGTACGGGAAGGGAAATATACGAGACCAATCCTTGCCATATGGTCTGCGGGCAGTGTTGGCCGTTAATCAATTAAATTTCAATCAGAAATTGAATCAGACTAAAAAATCAATTCAATTGAAATCAATTGCTATTAAAATCAATTGCAACGTCACAATTAATTTTAATTGCAATTGATTTCAATTGAATTGATTTTAATTGCAATTAAATCCAATAAAAACGTGGTGGGTTAGGTTAGGTGGTGGGTTAGGAGGTGGGTTAGGTGGTGGGTTAGGAGGTGGGTTAGGTGGTGGGTTAAGGGGTGAGTTAGGGGTGGGTTAGGGGTGGGTTAGGGGGTGAGTTAGGGGTGGGTTAGGGGGTGAGTTAGGGGTGAGTTAGGGGGTGGGTGTGTGGGTCGGTCACCTAAACTCACCCGCTCACCAACCCACTCACACACCCACTCAAACCCAATAAAAAACATTCTAAAGATTGAAAATTGATTAATTGTTAATTGTAGATATACGCGATTAACAATTAATTATTAGTTGATTGCTGTTCTCGCAATTAACAATTAATCAATTGTTAATTGCTGTTTCGCAATTGACAATTAATTAATTATCAATTTTTAATTGCCTGAACAATTAAATATTTGCCCAACACTGTCTATGGGGCACGGGAAGGGAAATCTACTAGACCCATCACAAGACTTGCCGCGCCCTGAAATATGATTGGTGGATATTGTTCTCCTCCTGCGTCTCAGTGATGATTGCTCGACAGCAAATTAAGACAGTTTTTGGTCGTCAAGCTTTAGTGCCACAAAATATTACCAGTTTATACAATAATCTGGAAAATTATAATAAAAAAATGACTTACTAGGATCGTGAGCATACGGTACGAGATCCTTGACGCCAGCCGCTGTTACGATGTCTTCGTCTATCGCAAAGTTGCCCGTGTACGACTTTGGATCCCTAGTGAACAACGATTCTTGTAGATTCTTTATTTAATTTGGTGTAGGCAAATCTAATTACTTGGCAAATGAAGATAACGATGGGGACAAAACACATTTCTTAGATGATGTGTGTTTACTCTAAGGGCATGTCCCTATAATGTCGTAACGATTTATTTATCGTTAGACGACGGTCGCGAAGCATGTTCCCGTATCACGACCATCTGTCGTGACTGTGTCGTGGACATTTACCGTTGAACGACTGTCGTGTCTAGATGTTCCCGCTAGATCGTGACGACAATTTATCGGTTCACGGCAGCCGCCTTATCGTTTGCACGACAGATCCTATGGAATCCGTCGTTACATTTTTATCGTGACGTTTTTATTTATCGTCGAATAACTGTCGTTCTAGCTTTTGCCATTAACACGATAGTCTGTCGTCGTGACGTCATAAAAGTCATGAACGACAGTTAATCGTATTGTTCTATGTGTGAACAACTTCATTTAAATACACAAACCACGACGCTTTAAACTGCACTACTACCTGTCGTCACGACATATGGGAATGCGCCCTAACATTTAAATCACGGTATCATTCAAGGTAATTAGATGACATACATAGCCTGGGAAATAACTATGTTCCTTAGGTGTCTTAATATGGAATGTGGAAGCAAATGACTTCGTGTTTATTGGTAATTTTAATGGAAGTTTTTGCGTTTTCTTTACTATAACGAATTATAACTATTATTTAAAAAATGTTGTAGGGTCGGGTATCCACTCTTTGTACTAAGTGCTACACAAATAGTGGATACCTAAGTGAGGCCACCGACTGTACCTACTTGCCTTACTTCATAACGATATTTTTATGTAAATATCATATTTAGGTACCTAATATTTCAATGCAATGTCTTTGTGCTAAAAATTAAATGAAAATAAACAAAAACAACACTACGATATGAACGATCGTAATTTGCTCAGTGTACTGTAAAATCATATTGATGGGGATTACAGAATAAATTACAACTTACTTGCAAAGCATGACGTAGGCTGCGTCAGAGACAATGTCCACCTTGCGAGTGGCGGAAAAGTCATCAGTTAACATTTGTATCGCCGCTGTCGCGATTGCTGTTGGCGACGGTCAATCGTTAATAAAACTAGACAGTGTTTTACCACGCTGTGAGATTTCAATTTCAACTGATCAATTTATTTAAAAGAATGATTAAACTCCGCTTGGGCAAAAGATAAGTACAATGAAAGATCAATAGCAGTGTCGACTTGGACAAATCCAAACCATATTTGAATAGATCTGCCCTTTGCGTTAATGTAATAAATTTTGACAACTCCTCGACAGTGTTAGAGGAAACGAAAACAGTAATAATCATTGGTGAATGTATTTATTGATTAATTTAATTAATCCTTATCAATTGATGAATAGAGTAAATTGAAGCTTAACCCGTTCGTGGACTGTAGATAACGACATTTACCATAAAATCAAGTATCAGAATAACGGTAATACGGGCTATCCCGTTACGCTATAAGGATAACGTGACCATTATTATTTCCCTCAGAGCGGGAAGCCTGTAAATTTATTATTGTTATAAAAATAAAATATATTTTCATGATAGTTACGAAATGTTTCATGATTAATTTTTTTTTACGAACTAAACATGGTTAATGATCAAAAATAATACTTGGTACTTGGTGTAAAATAAAAAGAAAATAAAATAAATAAAATAAAATAAAAAGAACTAATCTTGTGTGGTCTGATGGGCTAGCTTTATATATTTTTAGGGATGAACAAAATTTTCTTTAATACGCGAGATTTAGATTGTAAATATATACCACGGCAGCCGCGCCAACCGCACATCACCGCCAAAAACAATGCATGCGTAATACGGACGCACAGCTAAAGAATCGGGCGACAAGGTTTACTTGATGCTTTGCTTTCGCCATTATGTTAAATTTATTCACGTGTGTCCTGTTTTGTCAAAGCGGAATATTTTTAAGTATTTTTTGGGACAGCGGGACACGAAGCTTAAAAGCGGGACGTTTAGTAGCAGTAGAGCTCAATGTGAAAGAGTTCGTCCAGGGAAGTACTGCCACCTTACCTATTTCTGCCGCTAAGTAATAATGTGAGCATTACTGCGTTCCGGTTTTGAAGGGTTCTGTAATTACAGGCACATGGGACTTTTCAACTATGTCTCAGGGTGATGGGTGTAGACGCAGTGCACCTCAGATCTTTATTTAAAGCTCTGAGTGGCACTGCAACTGTTATGGACAGGCGTGTCGTTTACCATCAACCGCACGACTTGTTCGTCCTACACTTAGTATCATAAAAAAAAGAAAAATTGGTCACGATATATATGGATCCAAATAAACCTGACGACGGGCGTTGTAGTGCGATTTTAAAATGCTTTCCGTGTAATTGGCGCCTACTGCTCTTCCATATAAAAGTATCAACAACATTCTGACAAAACTCAATAATTTACATTGAACATTTTAATATAAACACTACGGGACATTGAAATGTAGTGAAATTTTTATGTGCGATACTGTACATGAACGTGTTAAAACAATTGATCAATGGATCTGTGAAGCTCAAAAGATCGAAGGCATCGTTATGAGTTAGAAAAGGACAAAAGATTTCATTTTAGTTTAGAGGTGCGTTATTAGTCGACGAGACAATACTACTCCATTAATTTTAAGCGGCATGCATTTGTATTGCAAGTAAATTCTTAAGAAGCAGTCAAAGTTTGAAACGTCTTAAACAAAATTAACGAAAAAGACAGACGCGTTCAAGGTGGGTTTGTCCAAATCGTCGCTACTATGTAAAAATCATTGTACTTGTCTTAGGCCAGAGCGCGTTAACACCAATGTTGTACGGACGGAATTCTTCGCTCATGCCGAGCACGCACATCGACATGCCGTACTTCGCCATCGTGTACGCCACATGGAGTGAAAACCTGCACACACAAACAAGATTTTACGGCCTCTTCCATGCCAGATTTCCCAACTTCGCAAAATACCCCGCATACGTACCGAGATTATCTAAGGTTCTGAGACATTTGCTGCCCAGATCTATGTTTTTGTCTATGAGGCGGGGCAAAAACTTGAGGCAATTAAAACAAAATTTTGCAATTAATTAAAAAATCGATTCGTCATGCGTCGCCGACGACAGCTGCCGAATCCTCGCGAATGCGCGAGCATTCACAAGCATGCGCTAGAATTACGCGGAATACACGCAACGTCATTTTTGGTTCGTATCTAGTTGGTACGTTATATAATCGATCATAAAGTTCATTATCCTATGTACAATGTCGTTACAAAAATTCGCTGCCATTCGTTCCGCCGCAATATAAGTTGAGTTTATGATGTTAACTTAAACAGAAACATCTGAGACATTTGCTATAATATGTTATATAAATTCTTGTTACATTATCAGTATAATAAACTCAAACTCAAATAATTTTTATTTCATAGGTAAGCAAATAACATTAAAACGTCATATTGATTAAACTCTACGATCATTCGTAAGGCAACTAAATGGACGTACACATTTATCAATTACAACGTTGATTCTATAATGTACCAGACAAGCCATTTCCATAGCTTAAACTTGGGAATTATCCAGGACGCCCAAGCTAAAAACAATTTTTTATTAGTTCATTTTCCGAATTGGTCTCACCAATACTTGAATCCGGAAACTTCTTATCTAGAGTGCTAACAATTCGGTCGGCGAGGTCGTCAACATGCCTTAAAGGTTTAAACTCCAATACAATAGTAAATTTTATCTCTATAACCTTAGTACGTCGATTGATACAAATTGTTATCTGTAAGCCTTTATGGCTGGCTTTTTATGGCTTTGTAAAAAATTTACAAAATATAAAATTATTTTGATAAGGATAATAGCAGGATCAGAAATATAATATAGTATTCAGAAATGCTAAAAAATACGTGTGTTTAAAATTGATTAATTATAAGTAAAAATAAAATAAAAATTTATAGGTAAAAATGTATGTCTATGGAAGACATTGAGATTAGTTCCAGTTATTTTTGTTTTGCAATATGTATCATAGTATAAATGTATAAAATAAATAATAATTACTTACCAATATGGGTTCAAGTTGAGTGGTGGAGATAGATTGAGAATATGTGCATGGTTGCTATTTTTTAGATGAGGCAAGCAAAGCTTTGACCTGAAATTGGATTAACAACTATAATTATAGACAGATGAACTAAAACATTGTTTAGCAATTAGCAAAAATAAATCGAATAAATTCAAAGTCTACAAAAAATTTTACCACCATAATTTTACACCCTAATATGGTGTATGTTTTTTAAATGCATTTTTTTGCAACACTTACATACTATGAGTTTCAAAGCAACAGAATTCGTTTAAGAACAGAGGTCCCCAAACTTTTTTGTCTCAGAACCTACTTTTCTGTTTTGGCATACCCGGCCTCTTTCATCCAGACCCTGCCTTTCCAATCACAATTTTTTATAAATTCATTAACTTCAAACTTGCGTGACACAATGCTACTCCAAAAACGATTTAACCATAGAGTTAAAATTCTAGCACTAGCCAAAATTTTGGTCACAACCTGTATAAACGGGATCTCTTGTGGACCTCCATGTATATATCATGTACCCTCAATACTTTTTCCCCTGACAAGGGGTCCATCCTTTAAAGTTGGAGTTGACCCCTGGGGGTTGACAAAAACACTGTGGGATTCATCATTCAAGAATACCAGTTGCCAGTACAATGGAATTGGGCCATCATATTTTAAATGACTATGTTTCAAACATGTATACAGACATTTAAGTATACAGACATGGTATTGTCAGTGACAAGATTAGCGGGCCATTAAAGCTTTGAGTTTGTCCCTCAGTAGGGCTAGCACGACAGGGAGCGACTTGCGCAAGATACTACTATGCTTTCTTAGAGATCTCGGCGCTTATGTTGCTCTCACACCTTGTTATGCTACCCCTACAGGTATACCCCAGAGTTTATGGTTCTCTAAACTTTAATCTTTCAGCACTGTTGCTGGTCTCTGTAACTGTTTTCTTGACAACATTGAAGACACAAATAAGTGAAGAATATTAAAAAGTAACTTACACTAAAAAAGTGCCTCTAGTGTTGATGTGATGCATGAGATCATATCTCTTCATATCAGTTGTCTCTGTGTTTGTTAATGAGATTGCAGATGCATTGTTCACTACAATATCAATGTTATTGAACTGCAAAATAGACAAATTATGAATTGAAACAACTGAACCCCTTTTAACAAGTATTGTTTCTCTATTTTAAAGATTTTTTTGAAGATAATATAATTATATTCTAGTTTTTGGCAATATGCAATTAAAAAAGATGGCTTGCAATAAATCTCGCTCATTATTTCTTATCTTATAATAATGCAAGTTAATTAATCTGCCCATGAAAAATTTAAAATTTAATGTTTACCTTTTTAATAGTGTCATCTATGGCTTTTTGCACTTGTTTTTCGTCTCTGATATCTACAACACATGGCAGTGCTTTCCCTCCCACTGCTTCAACTAAAAAAAGGTTATATGTTAAAAACTTCAAAACAACATATAAAAAATTATCAGAAACTATTTTGTTATCATATAGTAAGCGGGCGATCTTTAAATTGACGCCGGGTCAAAGATATATGTCCAAGGTTCAAAGTCCACAAATGAAGTAAACTTTCTGTTAAGTAAGAAACTACACAAAATTCTACGTTCGTGCGTATTTGTATTGGAGATTAGTAGTTCTAGAGTCGACTAAAGTGAAATTTAAATATGGAAAACACTCACTTTCTTCAGCAGCAGTGTAAATAGTCCCAGGAAGCTTGGGATGTGCCGTTGCGGTTTTCGCCGCTATAACCACATTAGCACCATCTTTTGCCGCTTTCAGCGCTATAGCCTTCCCGATACCTCGAGATGCACCAGTTATAAACAGTGTGCGACCCGCCAATTTCCTAAATAGAACATAATTAGCAATAAAAGTAGCACAAAAATATTTACTAACAAAACCTTGTTTAAAAACAAAACTTACCCGGTATTAGCAACTAAACTCATTTTGTGTACAAAATTTAATTAATTAAACAAATTTAATTCTAAATTTATCAATTCGTAAAGCCAAATCTTACGAGGATTGACAAAAAACTAAAAAAAATCATACAAATTTCCAAACTTAGACTTGTCAAACGGATGCGGTAGTTGTGACAGTGAGTGACAGTGACGTATGGACGTGGTTTTCGTTCAAAAACAGTAACTAATCTGTACTTTTTTATAGTTTTGTCTTGGATATAAGTATTTTGAGCCATGTATTCGTTTAATTGTCGGGATCCTCATCAAATATTTTCCATTGTCGTTCTAATATAATTATGTTTTCACTTTCACTTTTTGGGGAATTTTCGCTTCCCTAACGAACAATAAAACGGCCTCGTGAACTTCGTGAATAAAGCCGTCACAACTTAAATGACTTAGTTTTCTTGTTTGGGTTTTCTAAATAGTCTTTTAAGGGGCGTGAGTCAATATTTATGTTTTCGCTTTCACTGAAATCACATTATTGTCACTTTGAACAAAAACTTTGAATTTGAAATTAATGGAATTTTCTAGTTAAAAGTCTTTTGTAATTTGGTATAAAATAAGGAATATATTTTAAATTTTCTTCATCACTATTCTTTATTCGTATTTTCTTCATAACATACTTAAAATTAAAATAATCTTTGTAAAAACTGAATTTATAACTTTTACAATTAGTCAATGTACGGCATCAACAAACACAAACTTCAGGATTTTGTATTTAAAGTTGGATCGTTTCGTTTTGGAATATTTCGAGCACATTTCAAGCCATTACCGACATATTGTAAACTACAACAAACTTTACAGGACAGGATTTTTTTAATATTTAAATCTTATATGAATGTATTACTAAATTGAATTTTAATATACAGTTACAGCCATGGCTATGCCATACGGAGGGAAAGCAGGTAGCTGTAAATACCGTAGATAGAAAATTTAATTAAAAGAAGACTTCATTTTGATTTAAAACGAATTCGAACTGCCATTCAAAGATTTTTAAATAATCGCCTGTTTGAACAGGATTCGAACCCGCTAAATATGAAAAAAAAAACTGCTGTAATTTTTAACTGATCGAAGCCTCAATGTATAGTTGTTTTCTTATTAAATAACATAGCATCGTAATTATAAGGAAGACCATGAAATTTAACATGACGTCGACAGACAAGTGCCCGTTAAAGTTTAAATTTAAAAAATATCATTTGCAATGAAAAAACGAAAAACGCTGTTTATTAAAATTGCGCGACTAGAATCGAATATTCGACTTTTTTTGGGTGCAATCAGATCTAAGCTGTGGTTCTCGAGATTTAAAAATGGTGTTGCCCATGTGCAGTGTCGCCAGAAGAACTTCAAAACGGTGTAACGACGAAATCTTGTTTTTTAGTAGAACCGACTTAATCAAGACTTTTTTTAGTGTAATCAGATTAAAGCTAGGTCAACACCTGATTCTCGAGATTGAGAAATGGTGTTGATGGAATAAGCTTATTCCAGAGTGGATAGTAAAACACCGTTATATAACTTTAGAACCTTAGAATAATAACGCATAGAAACCTAGCCCGCACACGCTAAGTGAGGCAAATTGTAGGACGCCGTATAGGCCTACATGAGCGAGCGGGCAGTCAGTGCTCAAGGTCAAGTTGTACCGCGAACAGCTCAAAGATTTTTGCTAAAAATGACGATATGTGCGGTAATTGAGTTTAAAAATAGATCAGACAAACATAAAATAGACACTAACATCACATTCCACAAGGAAGTAACGTTTCAACTTTTTTATTTTTATGTAAATATTCACTAAAACAGAAAATTAATTTCGTTGCAACAAGATACGAAAATGTTGCAAAGTAACGGGTTTTTTCTCCCCATTTTGCTATTCTGTTTCAAAATAATTATATTACGTAATTTTTTGAGAATAGGCAATATCGCGGCGGTTGCAAAATTTCTACAAATGTACACCGCCGCAACAACATTGTCGGGAATTTACGTTACCTATTTCTACGAAATATATTTAGTATTTGCCTTCATTAGTTAGATGTGAAAAATCATTATTCTTGTTCATCATACACTCATTTTAAAAAATTGTCTTGGCCAGACTCAAAAGTTCGTAACTAAAATTATTTCAGGGAACTAACACTGACTAAAAAGTCATCGTCAGTTCTCCGAAATCGTGTATAAATAACTTTCAGGTTCAGGTTCTTTATTGTTATCGTGTACTTTTCATGTAAACATATCCACAGATAATATCAGGCTATTCATATGTATATTCAAATTCGATAGTCGCACTTAAACTCGCATGTAGGTTTTTCAAAAATGTATTTTTGGTATACCAAAAGGAAATGGCATGTATATCTGAAGACAAGATAGCGGGCAAGACTTCTAATTCTTCTTCTTCTAATTCTTCGCCATCTTGGATTTAGAAATATGTGCTACATTCGGAATGAGCAGCCCCAAATACCTTGAAAACGACACCCAACTTGCTATTATTCGAAAAATCGTGCCCGCCATCTTGAATTTAGGAATTAGTGCCATATCCTTAATGAGCACCCCCAAATACCTCGAAAACGACACCCAACTTGCTATTATTTGAAAAGTCATGTCCGCCATCTTGAATTTAGAAATAAGTGCTATATTCTTAATGAGCACCCCCAAATACCTCGAAAATGATACCCATATTGCATTTATTTCAAAAGTCGTGTCCGCCATCTTGGATTTAGAAATAAATGCCATATTCTTGATGAGCACCTCGAATACCTCGAAAATGATTCCCATTTTGCGTGTCCGCCATCTTGGATTTAGAAATGAGAAAAGTCGTGTCCGCCTTCGTGTATTCAGATATAAATGCCATTTCCATAAGGATTACCAAAAATAAATTTTTGAAAATTCCTGTCACTTGATGTTGTCGATCAACAGTAACGATCGACAAAATCGAGCATATCTGTAGGCACCTGATCGAGATTGTCGATCGACAAAATCGAGCAAATCTGTAGGCACCTTTAACTTAATGATGAGTTAGGCAAGATACAATTTCCCCACTTTTGAGGGAAATGTTATTCCATGGCATCATTATTTGTATATTTGTGTGCGTGCCTACGAGCGTAAATACAAGTTGCTTACGCCTATATGAATTTGATTTTTGCCTCATTTGTGACAGTTCGTTTGATATGAAACTATCATTCTATGCGTTATTATTCTAAGTTTAGAACGGCTGACGACGAAATTTAGCTTTTTGCGACTAGAACCGAGCAAATGGCGACTTTCTGTGTAGTCAAATTTCAGAAACTCGATCATGGTCACGGTGCTGGAATAAGGCACGCGAAGTTTAAAACAGTGGACTGATCATGGTCATAATTACCTATAATTGAAATGTTTTACGACTAGAACTAGATCCTAGACTAGAACAGATTAATTAAGGAGTTTTGACCTGTCAAATAATTTATGTCGCTTCTCAAGTTTTTGGTTAAGATCAAAGTGTGGTCAAACAATCGATTCGGTGACGCTGGACTTATTGTTCAATAATATATTGAGAGTAATTTTTAACCGACTTCGAAACAAGGAGGAGGTTCTCAATTCGACTGTGTTTTTTTTTGTATGTATGTTACGGGATAACTCCGGTATTTGTGAACCGATTTCCATGATTCTTTTTTGTTGGAAAGAGGGTACTTCCATAGTAGTCCCATTTAATTTTGAAGAAAATCATCAGAACAAGATTCATTTTTATAAATAGCGCCTAAATTTTATTGAGCAATTATTTTAATAGTTTTTCTCTCTCAATATACTTTGAGTAGTGAGAACCAGTTTTTATTATCTCCTGGGTCGTGTTCCGTATAGTGGCGAACTAGAGGATGAATCCGGGTTTGCGCACTTTCCGGTAACCGTTTTCAATAAAACTTTGTAATTATATGTACTTCCACGTACTTTTGAGGTCCGTTTTTTTAGTACTCTGTACTGAGGTTAGGTTATTGTATCTAATGAAACTACAAAGTTGTAAGTAAAAAATCGGATCAGATTTGAAATACATTTATTTTGTGCATCACTTCATAAATTTCACTCTGTCTAACTTCTAATTACAACACCACGGATACGGTGAATAACTGTCACAGTTACTATAATAAAACTCTATTTGATAATCATAAGACATTTAGTTAGGCTTAATACAGTTTGCAACTTCTATGAACGTATGGCTCGAATCGTTGATATCATATTTAATATACTTTAGGTTTCATTCGTCCTCATTTTTCACTCTAAAATATTGTTATTTGTACACGATAAATAACTACTGTACATACTTCTGAATGGAATAAATTTTATTTTATTAATAAGAATGAGTATTATATTCCAACTATGTATAATTTGAAAGGACAATAATGTAAATTACAGAAAATTATACCTAAAACTTAATGTAATACAAAAACTAAAAGAATACTTCATTAGAGATCTGTTAGTTTCTATTGATCGGTGTAACTTAACACACTGAACTATCCATGTTGTATTCCAAAACAAAATGAATAAGTCTTTGAAATCGTAATTTTAGGATGCACCAAAAAGGTACTTCAATTTCCCAAAAGTTAGCTTTTTAGGTACTTCATTAGATCTAAGCTATTAATGCATTGTTAGATATTTTGATAATTATTTACTTTTTTAAGTTACATTTTACTTGATTTCTTTTTAATTTATGATAGACATTATTTACACAACTATATGTACATATAATGTACCTATCTAAAAAAACAATAAAAATGGTAGCTGGGCATTAAAACAATTTTAATTTACTTAATTAAGAAAATATAGTTTTGATAATGGTTTTACTTGGATGGTCTTCAAATTGAGTAAAAACCCTGTATTCCTATGCTTTGCGTATCGATTTGATGTTTAATAAAACCAGACATGTCAAACATTCGTGATTGCAATGTTGCAGTGAAGACAATTGTAATTATTAAATATGTATTTACGTTAAACTATCACATTTATTATTTGCGAAATATTTTTAAATATATTTATTTGATATTAGATTAAAATCTCAATCATAGCTTTCCTTTTCCTAAAAAATCATTTACGGAAATACTTGTTTACACAACTGTATTTATACCTAAGACAGATTTGTTATAACTACAGAAACGACAATAGATTGGATTTCATCTAGACAGACAAAGCAGATAGGAAATGTCTAACTCCACAATAAATTTTAAATACCCACTAGATAAAAATATAAAACAGATGTCGATTTTGCATTTGGAATGCCATTTGCCACGTTATTATACAGTGAAAGCACCATACATCTGTTCAAATTATATATTTTACTCACAACATTTACTCAACTATTTAAAGCATTGAAAATAAGAATTGGCACCAAACATAAATTATTTTTAATACAGCTTTTCTGTTATACAACATTTATATCTTCTAATAATAGATCTTTGTTAAAACCTAATGGCATTAGTAACAGTCATTTCATAGCCTTTACAAAAATAACTTGAGACCCTTCGCTTTAGATTGTACGAGACGAGTCAAAAGTACATTCATGTCTTTTGACGCCTCTGAGTTACGTAGTTTGCGATAAAGACGCAACTTCTCCATCATTTTTAGTTTTCTATGGAAACTCTACGAACTGATGCATTCTATAATCCTACATTCTTTATTTTGGAGTTACCTTCTTATCGATTTAAATAAAAGCTGGCTGCTTAGCGGAGTGTTGCAATGCAGCTAATACATCATGTTTAAGTCTAACATACAGCCGTCCTTTTCTCCAAGGGTTTTGTAATTGCAATGGTCTGAAGTCATCCCGCAGGCATCGTTCTCTAGCTCCAATAACAGCCACTAGGCAGAAATCTTTTAATTTCTCGGGACCGTAAACAGGTCCCGCTTTTCCCTTTAATACGGCTGCCATGTTAAGTTGCTTCACGACTAAGTCGATGACCTCGCGAGCTGATGTCCGTGGTGTCACATGAAGCTTCAATGATGTTCCCGCTGCTAACCCGGTTTCGTACGCTGCGAATACCTGAAAATAAAAACCGTTAACTTTTTGGTATAACTGTTATAAAATTCAACGACAACGAATCATTGTCCTGGGAAAAGAGAATATAAAAAGTTTAGTTTTTAGAGAGTAGTAAAAACCTTGGATCTTACTTGTAATATCCCCGGTTGATCAGGCGGGCGTTCTTCAGAAGGCTTCACATTTTCCTCGGCGTCACTCGTCTGGTCAGTCTTTGGAACTTTATTGTAATTCTCTGTGTCTTCCTGGGTTTCTAATAACGGCTGTCGTTTTATCGACGATCCTTTTCCGAACTCTTGACAAGTGTCAGTGTAGTCTAGATCAGAAGACTTTACATTGTTCAAGCTTTTAGACGCGATCACATTTGCCCTATGGTGTTTTATTTGAGGACGGATTTTCAAAGGAACTGACGTCGTTGTGATAGGACAGCTCTGGCTTTCAGAGTCACTAGAAAGACTTTGAGCGGACTCTGACACATTGGCTTTGGCTGTTCGCATACTGATCATACTACCAGGGTAGTAGCTTTTAACGGTTAAAAGAGGACTTGATGTTGTTGAAGCACTTGCGACAATGCTCATTGGATGTTGTTTTGAATCGTCAATTTCTGACTGATGAACTAAGGTATCCTCGCTACGAGATGGAGGCAAACGATTGCTTGTAATGCTCGTATGAGATCCAGAAGTGTCAAATTGGGAGTTACTGAAGTTGCCACTTAACTGTGTGTACTGAGAATCGGCGCTTCCTTTGCGTGGGTAGTGGCTCACATCAGCGTTCAAATACTGCGAACTGCTTAAGTTGAGAGTAGAGACTGACGTTTCTCGAGGAGCTAAGCTCAACTGCTGTTCAGATTTACTAAATTCTGGGTGTAAGTTGGCATGATTCCCATTACCCGCGGGTCCAGGCCACGAACCTCTTCCTGGTGCGGTCTTAGTAATTTTACCGTCTCTGGAAGGAATTTGAAGAAAGTCAATTTTAAATTTATTATCCTTTTCGTTGCTTTCAATATCAGCCCCGTCTGTAAAAGTTCTTGGCGTTTTGTCTAATATATGTTTGAGCAATATGCCTGAACTTTGAGCAGCTTTGTCTTTATCTCTGGCAAAACCAATTAGATCCATCAACCACCTTTCTGCTTTCCAGACTGTGTTCAGTTTGTTCTGCAAGTCTTCGAGTTTGCTTAACCTCTCCTTGGCAGTTTGTAGTTCTGTACAAGAAAACGCTTCTCTGTGAGAATGTGCAGCTAACGCGACATCTAATTCTAACACACAGCTTAGCCTTGCATATTTGTTCAAGATGTTGGTATGGTACGTTTGAAGGTGGATCATTTCGAAAGCTTGGATTGGTAGGCTGAGTAGATCTCCTTTCTGAAGAAGTATTTCCTTTTGTCCTGGTACAGAGCAGGCCTGTTCGGCTGGTGGGCTTATCATGATGAAGCTTACGTCACTATTGAGCTCCATAACTTCAAGGTCATATATACGGTGGGCAATAGCGCATTCGGGTGGTATTTCCATGTCCTTAAAGAGGCGTCTGGCTGCAGCCGCAATTTGGTCTAGGAACATTTCTTGAGATTCTGAGGGTTCCTGCGTAGTGCTGATTGATAAACTGTTTATGGCGGTGTCTTCGGTCGTTTTGCCTGACTGGGTTTTGAGGTACTCCCATTCTTCCCTGGAAATTAATAAAGTAAATTTCAAAACACGCCCACATTTTATGTTGGTACATAATGAAACGTTTTGATTGATTGAATATCAAATCATACCTACATCAATTAGGACTCGATTAAAATAACGATTATCTATAATACTAACGCAGAGACGTGGGGATTGTCGCGAACTCGCGTGTGGGGCGGTACGTTGGGCGTGCGTGCTGGCGCTACGATGCGAACCACTTCCACGGAAGACTGCAGTTTCAGGTAACCTAGGTATAGACCGCGTGGGAGCTGCACTCGAGATACCTGTAAACAATGAAAACTACATGTAAGATATTCCATACGATGCAATTAGAGAATGTAGCCATAATTATATTAAAAAAAAATCTTCCTTTTTTGTGCATAATTCAGTCAGTTACAATTTTATAACTTCAATATTATTGTCGAAATATTTCTGTGCTTGGCAGCTTTTCTGAAATCACCAATTTGCCGAGGTTGGCGACAGTGGTAAATGGTCCTATAAAGGATTGATACACCCATATTTACGATGTTACCTGATGATAAGCAATTTGGTCGTGTACGGAAGCCATGAGCAGTTCCCCAATAGTGTTGTCCTCGCTGAATACCCGTCTCCGCAGCCGCGACACCGCCGCCCAGCGAGAGTTTAAAGCTGACACGGACTTGGCCGATTTCACGCTGTTGACACAGGATAACACCACTGTGCCGTGTGAGTCTCGTAGTGGTCTATGGTATAGTTGACCTGGAATTAGATAATTAGTGCTTAGAGTAAGAGTTAGAATAAGAGAGTTAAGACCAATTTATAGGTGCGAAATAAAGTGGAGTCGGAGACCATTGTGCAACCAGGCAATGGATATTCATTCACCTTACTACTTTCATTGGTTTTTGTCATATTGAAGTTAATCAAGTCCTTCTTGATCCTTGGTCTTTTGTTCGATTTAACGATGCATTCGTCTGGTCCATTATTTTTTTTATAACGCACTCACTCATAGCCCCACATTAGAGAAACTCTGTATCGCGGGTGCTATGGACAAACGCATAGACTACCACACATCACATTCAAACTCTCGAGAGAAATAAATGGAGGCCATACAAATATTTGTCTTGGGCGCATGATACTTGCTATATTTCTAGGATTCGAAACGACTCGGAAGCATTTTAAAAGATGTTGAAGTGTTTCATATTGGAAATGAAACTATTTTTCTGGATTTAAATCTCGTATATTTGTTTTTTCAAATAAACCGTAAACCGTAAACAAACTATAAAGGGCCCGAAACGTCGGTTTGTTTGAAAAACAAATATACGCGATTTAAATCCGGAAAAATTGTTTCATTTCCTATGTGTAATAATCGCGAAAACTTAAGAACTCGATGTGTTTCAATATCCAAAATGTGTAAAGAAAAGTTTTACCTAAGTCCTGAATGCATAGCGCAGACTGCATCTGTGCAGCAGCTGTGAGCAGTTTGAGTCGGAAATGAATGGACGAGGACGTGTGTTTCTCCATATCTGACCTAAGGCTTTTCACCTCATCCCAAGAACAGGACACCTGGAAAGGCAACGGAAGATATATTTAAAAAAAATTCAATTTCACATCTTATTCTTCTAGTTGGTTCCAAAGTGGTCTGGTACCGAGTGATAGTTTTATGTTGCGTCGGTGGTTAATTAGAGGACTTTTTAAACAATATAGTGACCCTTTAACATGAGCGAAAATTAACACAAGCGTCTGGACGGCATAATCTGTACTTATTTCTTGTAGGCTGAGTGTACATAATTCAAAACTTATTTTACCTTCATAAGCCAGTGGAAGTCGTTGTAGATGCAAGTGGGGTATGTCTCGTCGATCTCGATCACGGGAAGGAACTCCTCGCTTGTCACCAGTACTTTGTCCTCGTGATATATGATGCACGCCAAGTACACTCCCCTGTAAATAATAAACGATTGCGTTTAAACATAGGTACAGTTATTCGTTCTTAACGTTACATTCTAGCATGGACCAATACAGGTCGTAACTCTGAAAAAGGTCAATTACATCTTACTATTTAGATGGCTATTGATCAACAATAGCCTGGAGGAGTTTATATTATGTAAATGACCGTGGATATCAATTAATTCTTCTTTAATGTGATATATAAGAAGTCAGTTTCCTTCCTTGTAATTTTATTTAAATATTGATCATGAGCTAAAATTATTTTCTCAACTTTGTCACATATGCGTGTCAATAGATGGCATTGTGTATTACAAACTAATTTATAAATTAACGCTTCTTATTACGGGTAGATGGCGCTAATCCTAAACAAGTTAAAAGAAGAAAAAATATGTGCGCTGTGCAATAAGCGCCATTTAGTCGATGTTTGTTATCACTAGAAATTAGTGTAGCTTTTGTGAATTGTAGCTTATCACAGAAAAACAAATTAGTTGCAAAAATAGCTATTTGGTGCTAGTCACGACACTGTGTATCAAAAGGTACTAAATACCCGACTAAGCTGTCTAGTATCGCATTTAGCAATTCTCTTGACCTATTGGCCCTGAATTGAGTAACCAAAAACATTCAGTGCGTCATTTTGAACATCAGTATGGCATTTAGGTAAAGGTCCGGGTCGTCTCTTCGATACACTTTAGTAAAGTTTCATACAAGACTAGTTTCCACGAACTGGAATTTGTTAAACGCAGGAAGAATGACTACAAAATCATTTTAGGAACTTTCTTTTTCATTGGCAACATTTCAACATACCTTCGCAAATTCTTCTGGAATTTGCTAGCAGCCGTGAACAACTGCCGAATGGTAGCAGTCTTCTTCCGTGGCAGCCGTGGAGGTTGTGCTGGAGGCCTCTGCCGGGCGGCCGCGGCGGCGATAGCAAGCGCCTCGAGCGCTGTCGCTGCGCCACCTGCTTCGCCACGGCCTGCGCGGGAAGTTACGTCGCGCCAGCCTGCATAGTTACGATACAATAGTTTGTACATTGTATATTTTTTTCCAGGTTTCGTGGCGATTTAAACACTTTTTCATCACACTTGCTCGTAAATGGTATGATTGCACGTTGGCTAACTTGACTAAAATGCCCCAAATAAAGCCCTCGGGGCTTTTTGATTTCCATTACAGCCATAGTCGGTAAGGAGTTTTTAATGTGTAGCACGGCATATTTCCTTACATAGGTCAGGTTCAAGTTAAAGCAAGGAGGTTACTTAAATTCAAAATTAAAACATTCGCTTAAAATGTTATCTAAACAGAAATTTAATTGCAATTCAGCAAGTAGGACGTTTTATATTTTAAGTATTTCATATAATTGGACTTAGTTGAACAAAAAGGATCCAATCCACATCCACTCACTTTCGAAGTACGGCAGTTTGAAGTTTGAAAGTGTTTCTCACTCCTGAGTTATTTTCAAAACTTATAATGTCATATAACACCAGATATATTTCTTTATGTTTATATGTTGGATTCTTTTTGCTGATCTAAGAGGTTAGACTTTAACTCATTTTTTGATCATTTTGTGGATTGAACTTTTTGCTTAATATAGCTAAATTGATTTTAATTATTTTCTGTATAAAAATTTAGCAAATATTTTTACAATCCATCATGGCTGCATACGTATTTGCTTTTTACAACATCTTAGTTCGACTTTTATTATCTATGGAAGAATGAAAAAAAACCACCATTTGCCAAATCCGTAATTGTGTTACGAACCATATTATATTGTATTTATTTCCTCACAAATGTGATGAAAAACATTATATTATTATGTATCAGAGACGGTAAAAAATACAAAACTCGAATTATTAAAAACCTTAGCCTTTGGCTTCGGGCTTCTAATAAACCTTCGTTAGTAATTTCTTGTTTACCTTCTTTAATACACAATGTATTATTTTAGCGCGTCAGTAATTCTAATGCCACTTTCTTGTGGTGCTTTTTGTTTAAGCGTCTCTATGAAATTCGCTCCTATCCTTTTTACCTTCCTCCTATTCTTTTTTCATTGACGATATAGGTACATATTTAGACTAGACTACTTATATGTTAGGCTGAGATTTCACCAGCACCTTTATACCCTTCTAAACCGGAACGCTATAATGCTCATATTACTGCTTCGCGGCAGAAATAGGTAAGGTGGCAGTACTTCTCTGGACGAACTCTTTCACAAGGAGCTCTATTGCTTCTAAATGTTTATAGAACGGACTTTGTCTAACATTACTCAACGAATTGAATTAAATTTTGAGTTTTATTTGTAATTTTATGCTTAAAAGGCAGAATTCGTATTGTAAATAATACACAAATCTAAATTTAATTTACATATATGCATATATAAACTTATAATACAACTGTTATTTTAGTAACTTCTTATATATGAGACAAGCAATTGAAATGATACAATCTAACATGGTATGACACGCATAATTTTGGATATTGTACGTCTATCGGATGGATGACACACATGTACACATTCCATACAATTACACACCTACAGATACATATACACATACTTGCACTCACCTACACTAACAATTAGGTTAATCTATTTTTAGTCTGAAAAGCTAAAAATTACTGTAATTAGTGAAATTTGTACTAGTTGTAACACCAGTTATAGTAGATATTAAGGTAGTCTGTTACATCATCTTAAAATTATATAAGAGCAAGATTACTATTAATATTATAGAAGAGCGATGTTTCTTAACACAGGCCCTAACAAGCCTAAACGGAAACATCCCCCCTTTAAAATGAACAAATAAACAATTTAATTTTTTTTTAAACACGAAAAACTTGCTTAACTCGCTACTTTTGCTTAATCGAAGTCAAAGTTCGTTTTATAAACCTCAGGTTTAGATTATGTCTTCTAGAACGATCTCACAGTAACGTAACATATTAATTATGTATTACGTACATGGTGGAATATATAGCTATCACAGACATATATCTAAATAAACACCGCAAGTACAGCGATTTTTATGGAAACCAAGAGTGCCATATGTCACCCTCTACCATACCTCGTGAAAGGCGCTCGCGACCTAATGCACTTGCTCTGGGTAGAGAATGGTGTTAAACACCGACCGAGAAAAAGCTTTATAGCAAAGTGACTTTGCAGGGTGTATTTTTCTTGTTGATATTGTAGCTTCGTGCGTATCGCTTCCATTTATATTATTAGCGTAGTGAGAACATTAGGTTGTGTGAAAAGATTGACAAACGGAATGTAAGTGTAGCAAGAATGGCTTCTAGGGATCGTGCAGTGGGGGCCGACAGCCTGCCCACCGCAATAGGAATCTGCCAATCGTAACACACATTCGATACCAGGTACAGTCTAATGGCACATTTGCACCAGGACGACAGGTGACCTTGTCCACCTAAGGCAACAAGATACCCGGTGTAAATACTGAGTCGTTTGACCGAAGCGACTAGCGATACACGGCGACACGGTCGCCCATAGCGTTTACACCTAATCGCTTCGGAAAGTGACAATCAAACGCGCGTGCTCGTCAGAGTTGCCATTTTGTGGGGAATTCCCTAAACTATGAGGATTGGAATATTGCGGGATTTTAACATTTTACCATTTATTAATCTACCCACAGCTGATAGTCACATCAATAATTTGATGGTTGTTGATAAAAAAAAATCAATTACGATGAACATTATTGATATATATTTTTGCAACATCACACATTACTTGTTTGTATCGAAACACTATGCAAGTATGTGATGTGTTCCCAAATTTATAAATTTGTATGCATTGCCATTTGCGAAGATGTGACAAAAACAACGACCGAATAAAAATAAATTAATAAATATTATTGCATTTTTTATTAAAACTTGTTTTTTTTTCTCGAGATTATTACGTGGGGACGTTTTGGTTATAAGGATGTTGTCAGCGAAGGCGGCAGACGACTCGGTGTAAGCGACGAATATAAATGCGCCTTTATTACCACAGGCCTATCCCACCAGATATTGTACAAGAAGGTTAAGGTTTCTTAAATCACTCACTACTCGGTACAACACTCCGAGGCACGGACACGGTGAACGGCCCCCATCCTTTTAAATTCCCGGCGGTAGCCCTGAAGAAGTACCGGCGGCCCCTGGTCAGCCCGGCCGCCAGCACCTTGACCCCAGCATTACCCGTCGCTGCCACTTCGCGAGTGCCACACACGTTTGAGAAGTCCGCTCGTGATGACCATTCCACTAGAAATACAAAAGTTGTGTTAGTTTATATCGAGTTCTTAGGTTTTCGCGATTGTTACACATAGGAAATGAAACTATTTTTCCGGATTTAAATCGCGTATATTTGTTTTTTCAAACAAACCGACGTTTCGGGCCCTTTACAGGTCCCATGGTCACGGTTGA